AAATTTTACCAACTTCACAAATCAGCTGGCTTTGATGGCCAACCATCCCGCTCAATCCTACTCCACCGCCCAAAGACCTACCTACCCGGTCTGGTAGGAAAGGCTCGGAGGGCACAGATACTCGATTATCCTCTGTATTCCTTCAACAGGCCAGAAACATAGGCTGGGGAACATAATATAAAGGAAGGTCGCTCTGCATACTTCCTGCTCAGAGGCTCAGAGGCGCTATCCAGAACCAGAACAAGTCTTTCTTTGGCATTATTCTAGCACTGAGCACAGGGTCAAGATCAATTTGTTAAAGTGTGAGCCCGGGAAGGATTGGCAGGTTTGTGAAGTGAGATGAGGGAGAAGACTGGCACAGCAATGATGGAGCTGTGAAATGCACCTTCTAGTGCACGTTGGTTACAGTAATTGGCTTGCCCTCCTCATGTGTAGGACCCACAGAAATGGGAGCTTTAAGGAAATACGAGGTCCTAGAGAGAGACAGTTAAGTTAGAAAAGGTGCCCCTCGAAAAACCCACTTCTTATATCAAGAACAGGCCTTGTTATGCTCACAGGGGAGAATTATTTTTTGTATCTATATAAGATAATGAATGCTAACTAAACTTATTGTGATAATTCATAATACACACATTTTCCTGTGTATAATGTATACTTTTTGCCCAAATATTTGAGGAAAAAATAAGAATGTGCATTGCACATGGGTATAATGATTACATACCACGAGTATAATAATGGGTATGATAATCTCGTGTATAATGTGCACGAAGCCTGGGTACGCATTATACACGGCAAACTACACGCATAACACACACCCATGTAAGTCAAGTCTTTATGGTATACACTTCAAACTTATACAGTGCTGTATGTGAGGTGTTTCTCAATAAAACTGAATGAATAAATAATTAAATGGCATAATGCATGCAAACTCCTGGTAGTTGATGAATACACACAGTAAAAGGCCACTGATGGTGGGCCCACCCTCTCCCCAGTGCATTTACAGTGGGGTGAGCCAGAGTGGGGATAAGACACCTGCAACGGTCTGGCTCTGTGATGCTACTCCCAGGGCAGAGCCCAGGGTTGGGTTGCGTTTGAATAGGAGGGGACTGGGTACAGATATGTTTACAGCCTGCTCAGGAGCTCTGCTTAGTTCAACTACGCCCAAGAGGAATTTTAGGATGCATTTCAAAATAGAAATACATAGAACTTTCCATATAACTACAATAATTCAGGAAAATGAAAGGAGAATTTCTATCTCATTCCTGTTATAAATAACCCACTAAGGTTCTTTTCTGAAAGCAAACAGTGGTGCCATTTCTACCCATTTCTACTGATAATCTGGTCCTTTTCAGCTGATAGTGCAAATTAAAATCAATTAATATGCCCCCAACCCTCGTGCTTCCCCGCCAACACCTGATTTTGAATGTCTTGTAATTGCCAAGAATAATCATGTCTTTGTAAGTCACACAGGATAGGTGCTGATCTAAGCAAAGGGGTGATTTTATTATCAAACAGAACTTGTAAAACCTTCTCCCAGACAGAAAGCCTTTTCACTGGCTAACAGCCAGAAGGGCCCTGAAATGGTTTTCCTGAAAAATAAAACTAATGTGCCATATATTACTTACATAGAAAGAAGAAGTTACAGGATAATCATTATCATAGTTACGATACTAGAGGATTAAAGAAATTTGTCAAAGTACTTTAAAACAGCACAAGTTATTAAGACTAAATAACAAACTTTGTAATAAAAGTTCGCATACCCAATTAGAAAGAATATATGCACCCCTACGTTTATAGCAGTGTTATTTACAATGGCCAAGATCTGGAGACAGCTCTAGTGCCACCAGTAGATGAGTGGATAAAAGAACTCTGGTACATTTACACAATGGAATACTACTCAACCATAAAAAGGAAGGAAATCTTACTTTTTGCAATATCATGGATGGACCTGGAGATTATTGTGCTAAGTGAAATAAGACAGCCATAAAAAGACAAGTACCATATAATCTCACTTATATGTAGAATCTAATGGACAAAATCTGAGGGCAAAAATAGAAAATGAGGAATGAACACATGAAACAGACAGACAGATGTCAGAGGGGAGAGGGATGGGGACTGGATGAAAGAAGGCGGGGGGATTAGCCAAAGAACACACATGCAGAACCCACAGACACCAGTGTGGTGATGGCCAGAGGGAAGGGAGGTGGGGGACAGGAAAAGGTGAACAGAGAGGGGACAAATGGGGATGTCTGTTGTTATGTCATTCATAGAGAAAACCCATTAAAAGCAGCTGTGTCTTCAGTACATTTTGGGATGCAGGCTCATAATTTTTAGGGTGGTTACGGTAGCTGTGCCACTGACTGCTACCTACACACACGTACCCCCTTCTTATGTGCAATCTAAATCCTAAGTCTTATTCGTCGACAGGTCTGGATCAGGTCCCACAAGAATGCTGGTGCTAGCAGGCGGAAGTGGTATCCCCTATACCTTAACCTGTTCCCACAAGCCTTTGCTCCATGTTGAGAAGCCTTGAGGGGTGTTGGAGCTTTAACCTGAAATGGAAGGCAGAACAGTGGGTACACATCTTTTTTTTTAAATTAGGAATCCTGACTCATGGTCCCGCTTGTTCCGCCGACCAGAGCTACGACTTTGGAAAAACCAGTTAATGTCCCTGTGGTTTTGGTTTGTCATCTGTAAGGTCAGGGATTGTCCCATTGCCACTTTTGATTCCATACAGAAATCCAAATGATAGAAGGCTTCAACATCACGGGCTTTCTACTTCTTCCTATGGAACTGGCTGGCTTTAAAATATGTCCACAAATTCTTTGACACTTCTGCCTTTGGAAGGCAGAGTCCCCCTCACCTCTCTGGATTTTGTGACCGCCATAGTGGGTGGGTGCAGCAGAAGTGACGCCGTGTGAACTTCAAGGCTACACTGATCACTAACACTGACACGGTCTCATTCTCTCTCTTGCTCCCCCCATTCCATCTCACACTCTCTCTGCCCTGGGACAAAGGCCTCCAATCCCTGAGCCACGCTATCCAGCTACTTGGAAACCGCCAACCTATAGAAGAACAGAGAAGCCTCACAGTCAGAGACAGAGGGAGGCCCGAGGAATGTCAGCTGTTGGAACCTTCCAAGCCAGGTGATTGACACAGGCGTGACGAAGCCTTTGAGATCATGCCAGCCCCAGCCAGTGTCTGCCTATAATCTCAGGAATACCTTTAACTAGAACAACTTGGCCAAGCAACTCCTGAATTCCTGATCAGAAACAGCGAGAGCCAATAAAGGATTATTGTTGTTTCAAGCCACTAACTTTTGGGGTGATTTGTTATGAGGCCACAATAACTGGAAAGACCATGATAGAATCAAAACTAGGGGGCAAAAAATGCTACCCCCAAGGTCAAACAAGGAATTCTTTAGCATCCACAAGAACCACAGGAGAGAAGACTTAGAAGTATTCAAGAATGATGAAGGTAGGTACAATTCACCGATAAATGCCACACAAAAAAAACCTCACTAGAATATTCACCTTTTTATTTTCAAACTAGGTGACCTTCATGAACATTCATAATTAAAAGAACTACGGTAAGAATGACCCTAACTGGAACCATCAGAAACCATCAGCAAATGAGGTGGGGCCTTCTTTCATCCTTTCTCTGCAGCACTGGCACCACTGCTCACTGGCTTTCTGCCTCACTCCTTTGTCAATACGCCACCGTGCAACTGTGCAAGCACTTCCCTAAACTCCGAAAAGAAGGCTTCTCCTTTTAAACGGGTAAGGAAAAGAGCTGGAGTGCAGTCAGCAAAGGTGGCACCTGTCACTGGACCGGGGTAGTGGGGTCGGGATAGCCCAGGTGTCCTGGTGAAACAGAACCACGGGTGACGCTCAGGAGACGGCATATGGTGGCCAGCTGAGAGGATTTAGCCACGAATCCACAGTTTTTCTTCCTAGCCCACCCAGGGCTTTTAAAAAAGGAAATTTCACATAAAAATCCAGATTTCTACCTTCTCTTGAAACACTGGAAGTCTAGCAACCCCAGGTATGCATTCTCGCCTGGTCTCAGTCAGCAGGAGCGGGCCAGCCGTTTCTCCCTTTGGACAGAACACGTGCTCTCTATTTGCCACAATCCCCACCACTCCCTGCTCTGTACATGGGCTCACCTCACTCTTCTACTTTGCATTTTTGGTCCCTGTGGGCATTTGAATTTGTGTGTCTCTCTTTTTTTAAGCAGATTTTATTTATTTGTTTGTTTGTTTAGAGGGGAAGGGAGAAATAGAGGGAAAGAAACATCTATTGGTTGCCTCTCATTCATGCTCTGACTGGGACTGAACCCACAACCCAGACATGTGCCTGGACTGGGAGTCGAACTGGCAACCCTTCACTTTGCAGGATGATGGTCAATCAACTGAGCCACACCAGTCAGAGTTGAATTTGACCTCTTGACCTATACCAACAGAGGCATTTCAGACTCCAAACCTCAGGGTATTCCTTGATCACTATAGGTTTGAAATTTTTGGTGGTTTGGAAATTCTAGTAACTTCTGATTTTCGTGTCCTTGTCAATTTCTTTCTCTGCAAATGTGAGACCATAACAACCCACATGCCTCATAATTATGTAAGTCCTCTTACAGCACTGTTATTGAATATTGGGGTGCTAAGTGTGCCCCAGAAATATATACTGAGCTGATGTGATAGAATCAAATGATCTTCAAAATACAAACTGTGTCCCTACACAGGTCCAACATTCTCAGCCCCCCAAAATATGGAAAAGAGTTAACCGTCATTTCTAAGATTAGGATGGAGAAAAAAGGAGCAAAGAGATCTACATACTGTGAAGTTAAACAATGTAATCACTAAGCACAGAATATCTTCAGGGTGATTTCTAGAGGGGACTTACCTAGGCAGTGAGGTCATTTCCTGAGAGATTAAGACCAGCGTTTTCAGGTCTGGGCTTATGTGTATGTTAGAGAAAGCAGAACAAGACAAAGCAACTCACCAATTCCAGACATTGTCGGTGGCCATAGGCAGCCGCGTAATGTATGCTGTTGTAGCCTTCCTTGTCCCGGATAGATGGATTTGCATTATTTTGAAGCAGAAACTCTAGACATCTGTAAGTATAAAGGTGAGGTTATTTTAGAAGCATCTCTGGACCAAAAGAGATAATGAATGTAAATCTCCTCCTATTAGACAATGCAGTATTTCTTTAAAAACCCTACAGCAATGACATTTTATGTACTGGAAGTTTTTTTTTGTTTGTGTGTGTATGTATTTTCTGTAGCTTCCTTTATTTCAGCTTTAAATAGCTATTCTAGGATTCAGGCAAGGCTTTAGCAACAAGAGGGTAAGGAAGTTCTTTTTCCTTCTCATACTAAGGCAGTCTGTCATCCACGTTCAAAAGACCAAGTCTCAACCATAATAAAGAAATGGTCAGGCCATTGCAACGGGCTGACCTCAGGGAGAAGGTTCAGTTTTTTTTGTTGTTGTTTTTTTAATTTCAATGCTATTTATTTTTAAATTTGTATTGAATTTATTGGGGTGGCATTGGTTGATAAAACTATATAAGTTTCAGATGTACAATTCTATCATACATCATCCATGTACTGTATGTTCACTGCATCAGTCAAGTAGAAGGTTTAGTTTTAACCTCACTATTTGAGACTCTAAGATCAAAAGAATAGAAAAATGAAAGTTAAAAAGTGTAAGAAAACAACAACAAACAAGAACACAAGAACAGCCTACACAACAAGAGGATTAAAGGAATAGGTTAACAATAAAAAAATAATTCAGTAACCACATATGAAGAAAAAGGTTCATATTACACCATTAGAAATATAGACTAAAACAAAGTAGTATATTTTAAAAGCCTTTTATTTATTTATTTTTAATATTTTATTTATTTTCTGGGCAGAAGGGAAGGGAGGGAGAGAAACATCAATGTGTGGTTGCCTCTCGCACGCCCCCTACTGGAGACCTGACCTGGCCTGCAACCCAGGCAGGTGCCCTGACCAGGAATCGAACTGGCGACTCTTTGGTTTGCAGGCTGGCACTCAATCCACTGAGTCACACCATCCAGGGCTTAAAAGTCTTTTATAACAGAGCTGTAATTTTTTGTAAAAAGCCACCATCTGTGGAATAGGTTAGAGAAAGGTGTGTGGCTGCACCTTTCCTGACATACCCCAACCTCCAGGACACAAGTCCTCGAACATGTGATGCATTAGCTGAGGACCTACTGCAAATGGTACAGTCCTGCTGGGGAAGAGAAAGTAAGTAAGTAGTGCTGCTCTGTAATTCCAATTTTATTTCTGTGGTAGTAGGACAAACAAAACCTTCACAAAACCAAGCTGATTCAATTTCATACTCAAATTGAAAGTATAAGATTCTCACTTTGAAATGACATTTACCTATCTCTTGGCAAAAGGGAAAAGGAGAAAATAAATCACATGTAGAGAGACAGTTTAAAATGATATTTTAATTTCTAGAAAAACTGACGAAAGACATAAATTTTTTAATCCAAAGACCTCCATGTCACATGATTTATCCATAAAATATTCCATGAGAAATCAAACTCTCACTGCAGTCCTGGTAACAGACCATCTTTGGTGATCTGTGCCTTATAAGAAAGTCCTTTTCTATTTTGGTCATTAAATGCCCGTGGAGAGGATTCTAGGTGTGACTCCTTATATACCAAATTTGGCTCTTTAAATAAAATCACTCAATAGGAATAGCATTCTAGTGGACACACAATCCCAGCTTCTGAAAGGATTACATTCTGAAAAACCTGTTGATAAATTTATAATTTAATATGTAATTTGGGAGCAGTTTGAATTGCACCCAAAGAGTTATTTAATCCAGAATATTATACCTGACCTACACTACCAACAGTTCTATTAGAAATAACAACAGTAGTATAGAATTTGAATATTTTCCACATTGTTTTTTAAGGGACCGTTTATAACAAGTGTTAACTGGGTCCTGACTAGCTATTTTGACAGCTAAGCTGCAGCGTTGGGAGATGCACAGTAGGTCAGGGGTGTATCTGGACATGGGCAGTAGCCTCTCTTTGCATAAAAGAGTTCTCAGGCAGGCTGGTCCTGCCCCACTGCCTCTCTGGCCCCTTCCCTCTCTACCAGCAGTAAGAGGGCTGCTCGGGCCCAGGGCAAGCTTGCATTTCACTAGGAAAGGGAGCACTTGCTCAAGTTGCCTAAAATCCCACAGCCTTTAACATGGTTATTTTAATTTTGGAGTATTCGAGTAAAACCTTGACCATTTGGCTTGACTCACAGCTGTTTGCACAGCTGTGGGACTCAAGTTATGTTCCCAAACCTGCACCTGAGCCACACTCTCTAACTATATCCTTCTGATTTCTACACACAACTTCCAACTTGTAACTCTGTACTATGGCTCGGACACCAGAGGGGAGCCCCAGGGGGTGGAAGGAAGACCCTGGGCTGGACACAAACAAGAGGTCACAGAGAAACTTGTCCTGCTGACAACTGGAGAAGAGAATAAACAAGGGGCTGTGTGTGCATGTGCGGGCCACTCTTAGGGCACTACATCCACTGGACCCCAAGACACAAAGTGTAGGCACTGTTCATTCGTTTGTTCATTTGTTCAACACACTTACTGAACACCAGCTATGTGCTGGTCACCACACTGGGCAGCACGAGCTTGTCGCTGTGACCTGTAGTGCAGGAATGACTCCCAGAGGACAAAGCATTAGGGCTTCCCATGTATCCATGCCCCTGGGTGACGGCGGTCCCTTCCATCACAGCACTGCCCGAGTCTCTCTCAGAAGCCAGAGGGTGGCAGGTAGGGTGAGGTGGGACAGGAGCAGCTGGCGGCAGGAGCAGGGGGCTGTTTGTGAGTTGATGTGTGTGTGTTGGAGACAAAGAGGAGAGTACGGTGCATGTACGTCACACTGAAATCTCAAAACATTTATTTATAGAATCAGCTAAATAGTTATCTACAGGTCATGAAAGAAGAGCCTAAGGCCCTAAGACAGGGGTGTCAAACTCATTTTCCTCGCAGGCCACATCAGCCTCACAGTTGCCTTCAAAGGGACAAATAATTTTAGGACTGTATACATGTAACTACTCCTTAACTGTTAAGGAGTTGCAATAACATCCGGTGCTTTGAAGGGAACCAGGAGGCTGATGTGGCCCCCGGGGAAAATGCGTTTACACCCCTGCCCTAAGAGGAACTTCAGCATGTTGTCTGAGGCACATGACGGATGTCAGAGCCAGAAATAATATGTGAGACACACCTGGCTCCAAACACCGCTGACCAATCACAGTGACGGTCATGTCAAAACTTTCAGTCTTAGAAAGAGTACCCTGTGTGAAAATGGCATAATTAAAGGATGTATTTAAAGAACAGTTTCTGCCCTGGCTGGTGTGGCTCAGTGGACTAAGTGCCAGCCTGCAAATCAAAGGGTTGTCAGTTCAATTCCCAGTCCGGGCACATGTCTGGGTGGTGGGCTAGGTCCCCAGTGGGGGGCACACGAGAGGCAACCACACACTGATGTTTCTCTCCCTCTCTTCTTCTCTCCCTTCCCCTCTTGCTAAAAATAAATAAATAAAATATTTTTCTTTAAAAAAAAAGAAGTTTCTTCTTCAGTAAAGATAAGCCCACATTACTTTCTGAGGATCCCAGGTGAAACCCCCAAATAGTAAGACTGGCCCCCGTGGCCACTCAGAGAAGCAGACAGGGCACCAGTAACTGCACTTTGTGCTTAGGCTGAGGAGTAACTTACAGTGCAGCTTCCTTTTCCTTTTGTTCTCTGGCTCTTTCAAGTTCTTCGGAATTTTCATGGGCATTTCCTAAGGACGTCTTACTTCTCAGCGTAAGGAAAAGAAAAACAAATTACAATTAATTTTTAATGGCAAAGTTGCTAATGATTTTGGTGCAATTTAAATCTCAATGATTTTTTCCTCCAACACAAAAGAAACATGTACTATTGTCACTGAAGATATAAATTGTACATGGTTCTCTCCAATGCTATCCATTAAATCTATTCGCTCTCAAGATATCCAACTAAGAATGTACCATATTTTGCACTCACATTTTTGGTCCAAACTTTCAGGAAAAAAAATCCTTTGGTTTAATTTTTTAATTCAATTATTTACTTATTTAGATGCTTGTTTTTTGTATTATAAAGGAATTTTAGCATTTATTTTTGAACATGTAGTACAAGAAATTTTATGTAGCAAATCACAAAACACAAGAACAGATAAAAGGTACATGAAATTTGGTACAACAAAACCAATTATTGTATTCCAGGGTATTACTTTGCACGTGGATATCGTTATTGCTTTCTAGACTTACACTTTTAATGCATAAGCATAAATACAAGAGTTAAAAACATTTGTATAGATACAGAATTAGTACTACCCATGTACAATGCACATCCTTATTTTTCCCTCAAAATGTGGGCAAAAAACGTGTGCATAATAGAAGGCAAAATACGGTAACTGTCCTAACACTTCCACACAGGTATCAGCAGTTAAGGTATCAATCAAGCTGTCCACCCTTCCATAAACATCCTAACCGCCCCAAGTAAAATGGAGGCGATTTAGCTTAAACATCTCTGACTCCTACCACATTCATTGCTGCCTCTCTGCCAGTTCATCTCACTTATCCAGGAATGGGGTCCTAGACAGCCCTCCCCTGCCAAAGCAATTCTTCATCACCTGGGATTCCTTTTCCAGTTCTTAACAGGTGAAGTGTACTTGTTCCCCGACTCTACTCCAGGTGAACAATATGGAGCCGGGCACAGTAGTCACTCAGTGTTTGTTGAATTGACAAGCTGCCTGGCTGTTGTTATACACACATGAAGGGGGGAGGGATGAGCAGTGTTTTCCAAACCATGGAAATACGGACCATAATCCACTACTGAGTATAAAATCAGTTTAGTGGGTTGCAATCAGTAATGTTTTTAATGAAATGAAAAACAACATAGAATGTACTATGTACAGTAAAAGTGAATATGGTTTTATAAATTTGTTTCCATTATACGCACACATATATATATATAACATATACGTGGCTGTATGTACTGGTTATGGTACAAAATGTACTTCTTACTGTGAGTCACTGTTTAAAGCCATTGCTCTACAACAGCAATTTTCAACAGGTGTCCCGCGGCAGGCATGCGGGTGCCACGAGGATTTTCAAAACATGCAGTATGTGACCACCTAGTCAGGGACACTGACCTCTTTTCCCTTAGACTGTCCAATGAAAGATGACAACAGCCAACACAGCAATAGCTGTCTGGTGTGAATGAATCAAAATTATACCTATTTTTGTCAGATCAGCAAAAAAAGATATTTTTGGTGTGACAGAATTTTAGTAATTAGCTTATGTGTGCCATGAGTGCCATCTAATTCCATGAGATAAAAAAGGTTGAAAATTGTACAAGAAAAGGAGTTAGCACTGATCCACAATCAGCTTCACAGCACAAGGCAGCAGATAATTAAATAGTTTTCCAAACAGGGTCACCAAAAGCTATTCCTGTGAAGGAGGCCTTGGTCCTTAGGTCTTTGAGAACAGTCTCATAAACTGTGGGCACTTCTCCTTTCTAACCACCCAGAATCCGACAATGTCCAGGGCAGCCAATTTCCTCTCCTGCTCCTGAAAGAGCATCAACCCAGGTCTGGAACAATAAAACAGTGACTACTTCACACACACTGACACTGCATCTGAAGGCTACTGGGATTATGCATGGATGGATATTTTTTACACATGACATATATCAGCAAATGTAAGTTTTACAGCAAATGAAGCATTTAAGTGATGATAATGGAAAGTGCAGCATATGACAAAACAAATTACAACAGATTTTGAATGTCAAACTGAAAACCTGAGCTTGACAGCTCCACTTGGCATTCTACCCAAAAAACAGAGAAGTAATTGTACAGTGACACGTAATAATCACACGAGAGAGCAAAATGGGAAAATGGGTTGGGGATGAAGCATCTCTAACCCCTTTGGGTCTGGGTGAGAGAGATTCTTCAGTCAGTTTCCTTGAGTCGGAATGAAGAAAATTAGCAAACCCTCCCCTCCCCCGCCCTACCCCAGAGGAACCAGGAAACAAGAATAAGGCTGTTTTTACTTTCTATCCATGTCTGAAGCAGCAGCATAGTGCAAGGCTGTCCGTCCCCAGTCATCTGTTTCATTAACGTTGGCCCCGGTGGTCACTAATGTCTCGATACATTGGAAATGACAATTTGCAGCTGCATAGTGCAAAGGGGTCCTGGAAAACAAACAGCAATTTGTTACTTCGTTGAGTCTGAAAAGCAGACCCATCACCAGCGCTAGCACAACAGCAGTACACCTGGGGGTACCGAAAGCTCTCTGTCTCTCAGAGTGTGGAGGTTAAGGGAGATGCCTTCCTTTGCCTTGTACATTGCAACTGACGCTGCAGAACCAGTAGCTCGGACAAGGCCACCCACCAGCAGATCTATTCTTTCTTTCTGTTCCTCATGCCCTCCTGTCCTGGTTCAGGTCTACATTACTGCCCAATTGGAATATTGCAATACCACCTGTATTAGCCTCCTTATCTCTAATCAAACTCCCGTTGAACTTCCAGTGGCTATGAACAAAGGCTCAGGTTTTCTAAGGCCCGATGCCCACATATGACAATCCTGTCCTTAAACTTGTCTCCCTCCCTACTAAACAAAGCCTCAATTTCTTAGTCTGAAATTGAAGACCTCCCCAAGCTGGTCCCAATCTGCCGTTATGGAGTCTCTCTCCCCCCTACATGAGGCCTTTACTGAATCCAAATGGAATGACCTGCGGTTTTCCCTATTATGTCCACACTTCCCTCTGCCTTTGCCCATGTTGTTTTCCTCCCTGGAGTGTCCCTTCCTGAACCAGGTCCACCCATCAAGACCACCCTCATTCTTTAACTCCAGAAGTTCTCTTTCCCTTTTGTGTGAGACTCTTTAGCTCCTATCTGGTCTTCTCCTGAGCACACATCACATGTTGCCTTGATGTTAGGTGTCGTCTCATCTTCTCCACTGAACTGGAAGGTTGACAGGAAGAACAGTGCACAAAGAATCAGAAGCCCTGGGTTCTAATTTGGGCAAAGGTGCAGGCCGGACCCAGCCACATGCCCTACCCAGGCCGGGCTTTGTCCTTATGTCTATAAGCACCTCAGAACAGCTGTCTCCCAAGGTCCGCTCTACATCTGAAATTCCACATACATGTATAACTTGTTTAGTTTCTCTGGGCCTAGTTTTCTCATCAATTAAAAAGGACAGTAATCATCTCCATGTACCTCATAGAGTTACTATGAGAAATTAAGTGGATAACATTTAGAGAATACAGCACTTTGTCAAGTGTAAGACTGTGCAGAAATATAAAGTAATGTTTTATATTACTTATTTTTAGTCCTCAATAATTAAAAGTTTATCTGCTGTTCCTAGACAATTTTCAGGGAATAATAACCAAACAGCATACTAGAACTAGAGCAACTTTATTTCAAGTGCTATTTATCAATTTTCAAGTCCAACTATTTTATATTTCGTAGTCAATTGAAGGGCTCTTTGACTAGTTGATTTACTCCTTTTTAGTCCAAAACAAAGAGGAAATGATAAGTATTTTACATATTAAATTGCTTGTGTTTTTATTAACTAGGCTGAAAATTACTAGGTATCAACTATGTGGCAGAGCCTGGCGCTAAAGAGAAAATGGGGCCCAGTCCTTGTTCTCAGGACACCCACAGTCAGGTGACGAGAGTGGCAAGGAGACAGAGTCCCTGGGCAGTGTGACGCGCACTGCAGTCATGGAGCACATGGGGCAAGGGGCGCAGAGAGGAAGGGTGCCCATCAGAGTAGCAGAAGGCTGTCACGACATAAACCTGGAAGGATGAGTACAAGTTGTCCTCTGCAGCTGGGTAAGAGAAGAAATGTGTAGCAACTTTCAGAGCTAGGGTGTGTGTGTAGACGAGGAGTAGAGAGAAGTTATGAAAAAAATAAATTAAAATGTAATTTAATTAATAAATTTATATCCATGTATTGTGGTAATACTGTGGTGCAACTCAGCAATGCAAAGGACCAATAAGGTAGGAAAAGCTCTATGACTCATTACTGGTGGTGGTGGTGGTGGTGGCGGTGGCAATATGTGTGTTTCATGTTTTAAACATGTCTAAAGATTTATCCCAAGATGAAAGTTCAAGAAATATAAGAAAATGCTCTAGATCTTGTGACCACATTCTGGCTTAGAGAGGCTAAACTGCTCTAATCTGGTGCAAACAGAAATTTCTAAACTATATCCATGTAGAGGACTTAAAAAGACAGAAAGAAGAAGACAGACAACTGGCACTTCTAAACAGTAGCTGTGAGAGATGCTTTGCTCATGGCTGGTGCTTTGTTGGCGTCTCGCTACAAGAAGGGGTTTCCTCCTGGGGATGAAAACTCCCCAGCTAGCTCCCCTTTTCCCTTTTCAACATAACATGATTCCCAGATGGACTGCTCCCTGCTTCTTTCACTTCGGCACTCGAAGCAGAGTTCCCTGTTTACATACCTCCCACACTTGTCCTTTTTATGGAAATCCGCTCCACTGCTCTGCAAGAGTTTTATACATTCCACGTTACTAGAAAGACAGGGAAAACATCATTAAGGTGGCAGAGGTGAACTGCTGGGCTGTCTTCAGAAAGCACTGTATTCTGCACAGTGCAGGTGGACGTAAATCAATACTCTCAGCCTTAAATTCTGCTAACACAAAAACAACCTCACCATAGTAGAGTAATGACATATGAAGGATCTAAAGTTACCAAAATTATTTTTTCAAAGCTAATAAATTGGCACATGAAAGAGCTTGGTGAAAAATTTTCAACTCTATGACTAAGGAATTTAATGATTATTATATGATTAAACCTTTCAGTGGTGGTTTCATCATTTATGCTAAAATTCTCTTTTAAAACCATCAAGACTTTATGAAACAACCCTCTAAACCATAATAATTTCATGTCACCTTTAAACAGTGCACCAGAGTAGATGAGCATTACCTTGTATCCCAGCAGAACGAATTCACCAGGTTAACCACTTTTGACCCAGACTCTCCTTAATGGAAAATGAAACCGCTGCATTTCCCTGTCTTTTTAGTCTAGGTGAATGAATGGGCAGAACCAAGGCCGAAAATGATGCAATGGAGCATAGTGATCTTCCAAAGCTTCTGTGTCATTTGCAGAGGCAATAAATCACGTTTTGTAGAAAGCAAAGGACTTGCTGAAGTGAATTTTCCCATTGAAGGGCATGCAGCTAAATATTCATTCTAATAGGAGTTTCAGAATGAATGCAGGATGGTGTGTTGTCACTTTCTGTGCAGGTCTGATATTTTTAAAAATGTGGGCATCAAAACAGACAATCATCCATCATTGTTTTAAACTTACAATGCTAAGAAGTGTCTTAGGAGTTACTATTTTATTATCAATTACATATGAAAAATGACCTCATTAACGGTAAACCTGAGCAGAGCAGGGCTCTCCCCACCCCGCCCGCCCGTTATAGCCACCTTTCTCAGAGAACTAGCTGTTTCAGAGAACTTTCTGAGATATTATGTGCTGGTGTAGTAGGCCAGTTGATGGAAAACGCCTGTCCTCACTGAGAAGCCAAAGCACCAAAGGCAGAGGCACATCCCAGATGTATAGCTCATGAAGCTCATGTGATTTAGGGGAATGAGGCGAAGTGAAGGAGGTTCTTTTAAAAAATAACACAAAATTATGAGTATATAATGAGATATGACTTCGGAAGGGAACCACGCAAATAAGGGGCCCCGAAGCTCCACAGTTTATCTGCCCACCTCTGATACACAGATAAATGCAGAAGTGTTGCTGTTCCTTAAGGACGTAGGGAATTGATTAAGGACCAACATCTTGCCCAAACAAAGCCGTTCGAGAAGGGCCATGTTTGGGTGATGGGGCCATACAGCAACAATGTATTGATCAGAGCCTTAATCTAACCACTGACATGAAAAAGAGTATCTGATGAAAAATTCTCTTGTGCAACTTAAAAAAAAGGCAAGGATTAAAATCCCTTCTTTCTTACCCTTTGGGTCTTCTTAACCATTGTTCACATTTAACTCCTAGCAAGACTCAAAAATCAGTTTTGAGATAAGGACAAAAATGTCTGTAAATGAACTTAAATTAACTCAATGTTGGAGTCCCTTGATCATCACCAACCTACCAGCAACAAGAAGGAAAAACTTAAGAACAAATCTCAAATGATTTTCTTTCCCGGTAAGGAATACTAAGTAGATGTATATTCTATAGGGTAAAAATCTACAATTAAAAAATGGAAAGAAAAGAAAGTAAAGAGAATAAAACAAGAGCAAAATAATTTTCTATATGAAATGGGCTGAAATTTTTCTCTGGAAGAACAATTCTTCCACTACTAAACACAAGTAAATCTGGAAGTACAACAGTGGTATTTGGTGACGGTAGAAGTGATTCTTTCCCCTTTTACTGTTGAAATTGCCCTTGAATCACAGACAACTTAAGACACTTAAGATGAGTTAGTAATTAAGTCATGAAAATAACAACTAAAATTGCTAACTACTCACCCTCCTGCAGCAGCAGCATGAAGGCACGTTCTTCCAAATTTATCTGGGGTGTCTATTTCAAAGCCTGCAGACAGCACGTGCTCATTACTAAACAAGGACACTATGCTATACTTTTGTCCTAGTTAAACCACAAGAAACATTGCAGAGACAGAAAAATCAGTTAGTAGAAAAACCAGAACGCAAGCAATTGTAGTCAGAAAGAGGTTGTCATGGAAACAAATGGTAACTGCTCAAGCTTGGCAATTTTATAGGAAGGACCATGAAGTCAAGAAGAATTTATTTTCACATTCAGCTCTGGGTGAACTACAGCCCCACGTTTCAGTCCCAGGATAGAAATTTATGAGACCAATTTGAGATAAGTAAGTAGGGCAATAGACAGACAGACAGAACACATGGAGAAAACATGGAAGGTAAAGGAGTCATCTTAACATGCTGGAATAGATATTTTCTTAATATATTATTAGCTTCCAGTTGGTTTAAGATTTGGGAAACATGCTTTCATGCAGAGATTATTTTTAAACATGCCAAAAGCAGGGAAAATGAATCAACCATAGGTAAAGTACTTAAAGGGAAAAATGCCCCTGGAATATCTGTTGAATTAATTCATAAACAGTCTTTGCCTTGCAGATCTCTATCACCTTTGAAAGCCAGGAACTTCTTTCTACATGGAGGTTGGCAGAAGCACTGATAAGAAAGATTAGCAAAGCTCCAAACCAGAAGGAATTTCTTGGTTCCAAACAGGCCCGCATTAAAAAAATAAAAATTAAACCTAGTTGGAGGGGATCATCCATGGTGATTTTTCAGAGCCCACAGAGTGGGATGGCAACACAACATTTTCTACTGTTAAAATGGGGGGTGGGATTTGGCTTCTTTCCTTTGTTGAAAAATATTAAGTGGTAAGTCACCATTTTAAGCTTCAAAGATGTTTTCCCCATTGATGACAAATTTTCTGTGAGCTCCGCCCATCCCTGCCTGTCTCTCACTCTGGGTCACCCCAGCTTTGACTTTGACTTCAGATAGACAGACAAGACTCTCATTCAAGGGCAGGGATACTGACATTCCAGCAGGTCCACCGCCAAGGACTGCTAGAGACTGTCCCCAGAGCAGGTAATGAATGACATGAAGCACAGACAACCACTCACTCTGACCAGACATCTGACGCCACGTGGCTCACTTACAGGACACATCGAGCCTCATCTGTGATAATGGAGCTACTTACCCGATGATAACAACTTCCTGCAGCAGTCAGAGTGAGCATTTAGGGCAGCTAAGTGTAAGGGGAACATGCTATGGATTCCACACCTGGGGAGGAAAAGACAGAGCAGTTCACGGCAACAGCTCTCAAGATACGTGCAGAGGGACAATTACCTTCCCAGAAGTCCTCTGGTGAAAGGCAAACCCACAACACCTCACTTAGGGACTCTCAGCTGAAATAATTTTGTAATTCTTCCACTGGAGAAATAATTACACAATCATTTTCTACCTTAACATAAGAAAGTCCTAGACCTAAATCAGAAGTAAAAGCCCATAACAACAGAAGCAGATATTTTAAAGAAAATGTTTCACATAAACATATGTGCCTCTTTACCTTTAAAATTAATTTCCTTTTGTTTATTTTCTTTCAGGTTAGCAATTTGTGGTCCCATTCATTCATTCATTCATTCATCTATTCATTCATCAATACTGTCTAAGTATCAGATACTACGATAAGTGCTAGTGATAAGACAAACTCTCAACTTTGAAAAGCAACCTGCTTTATTCTTTGAATTAATAAACAAATATTTATTATTGACCTATGATGTATCAAGCACTTTGCTAGAAGTTAAGCGTAGCTGTATTATTGAAAATAAAATTTTATTTTTTTAAGATTTTATATATTTTTAGACAGAGGGGAAGAGTGGAAGACAGGGAAAGAAACATCAACATGTGATTGCCTCTCACGCGCCCCCTACTGGAGCAGTCTGGCCCACAACCTAGGTATGTGCCCCGACTGGGAATGGAACCAGCCACCCTTTAGTTTGAAGGGCAGTGCTCAATCCACTGAGCCACACCAGCCAGGGCTGAAAATAAAATTTCAGATGAGAATAACCACAGTGTATCTTTTGCAGGTAAACTTCACCTCCCTAACAGACTTGTATATTGCACATTAACCCACATCAGGACACCAGTCACAAACGCAGTTGGAGACAGCAAACATTCTCTTGCACATACTTCATCAATCTAGCAGATTTCCCCCTAACAGTATGACATAAAGGAGCTAGAAGAGCACTCTTTAGATGGACCCCCCATCATCACACAGTCCCCAGGATGGTCCCTAAGGACAGGCAGCCCTCTGATGGCAGCTCCCTTTGCCTCCAGCATTAAATCCTCCCCTTGCCCACCTCGCCTCAAACAAGGACCCAAAGCTGTGTGCTGAAACGTAGTTCACAATAAACAGCATCATCGGGAGATTCCTGTGTACTTATAAGCATTTATAAGGTTAGTGACCATTCCTCATAACATCTCATTACATTCAAATAGTATATTTCAGATTTTATAAATTGTCTGCATAGAACAAGCAAGTACATCTATTTACACCTGCAGCATAAATTACCTAAGTTTCTTTTCTGGCACAAAGTGGCCCATTTTCAGATTCTCCACTACATAAAAAACACATATGATTTGAATATAAGTTTTGGATATGTGAACTTTATTTGCTATCTTACAAGTTATTATGATGTCTGCGAATGTGTGAAAGTATATGCAGATTCACACAGACTTCATGGTGTTCAGTGTTCTGCAAAATCTCGGTCTGCCAGAAACGAACTGCCTCTCCCCTTCCATGGTAACTTCTTTCTTGGCGTTTTTGTTCAGTCTTCCCTCTGTTCATCTTCTTTTCCCTATATGGAGATTTCCAACCCAGTGTATATAATAGCTGGCATCCATCAGGAGATGCAATTTGCCCGTCTTCCGGGCAGTGTCACGTGCAAGGGAACTGCTTGTAATTGCCTCTCTCATCGTTTACAAAGAAAAAAAAAATCCTGAAAAGCAATTGCATCAGTGGCAACTCTGACGCTCATGAAAAGAAAGAACGTGTTCACAGTGGGGGTGGGGTGGGAAAAAGCATTTTTATTTGTGCTGTTTATATTGTTCCCTCTTGATGCCAGTGAGACATAGTAATTTCTTTTAATGTATAACATGTTTTAAAAGCTTCTTCCTAAATGGAACTTTAAGCTAATAAGATTTTAGCTAACCATTTTATTTATTTTGGGCAACTGAGGTGAAAATACATGATTAAATATCACTGGACATTCGCAAGAGGAAAACAGATAGAATGTTTTCTAGAATGTTTTTAAGTTCCTGAAAAAACATGCCTGAGATCAAGGACTGAATTGCTCAAGATTTCTGTGAGTCTTCCTTATTCTTTATATACATATAAATATTAAAATATAAATACTTAAAATTGTATATTATATATATGACACATAGTTAGGTCTATATTATATATGTATGTATAATATATAACATATAAAATATATTCTATATTAGATATATACCATAAAATAAAGATATATAGATACATAAAATATATATTGATATAAAATAACATAAGCAAATAAATTAGAGAAACTAGCATCAAATTCTATAATAAACCAATTAGGAAAATATAAAAAGTACAAGTGACAATATGACAGCAACAGTATTGTAACATATTCCATAATCTTCATTCTCAATACTTCTAATTAAACTTACCACTTAACACCACTGTATTTAGATAACTCATCACACTGTGCATTAGCTAATTATGTCTCTTCTTTTGCTGTTATTTATAAATCTGAGAAGATAAGGGAGGAAGAACTATTCTATAAGGTCTAACACAAATTCTGACATATATTTTTATTCCATAGTTAATAAGAAGTCACTACCTCAGTTTTGAAAACATATTAATTTAGACTCAAGTTCTATTAGTCTTTGAACTTGAATATGCTCTATCATGCAAATAGAAAAACTAAATATCAAGTCAAAATTGGAAAGAACATAAAAGTGGAATTTAGAATTTCTGAATCACTTCAGAAACAGTTCTGAATTTCAAAATAAAATTAATCCTTCATTATTATAAAATAAGACTGCTTCTAAAGGAAGGATCATAACACCTTTAGCAGGACTATAAGTCTCATAAGTCACTGTCTTATAAGTCAAATAAGAAGAATCACTCTTACATCATCAGGTAGACATCCAGGAAGATCAAGAAATAAAGATGTCAGATTAACACTAATCTTAACAATGCATAAATTACAGAAAAGAGGAGACCAATGCCAGTTAAATTGCTATATTTATTTGACCAGTCATAAAATTAATGGAACACATTTGTATTAGCTATTTCTAATTTAGCTGTTAGCTGGTGTCTCCTACCCAGTTAGGTAAAAATAAATGAGGTCAGAATAATTTGCAGACAGCTATCAGAGGTGAGAAAAGAACTTCTTGCACCATTAGAATATCAGTTCTTTTAAGCAGTTGCCTTGGCATCAGAGAAACACAGTCTGTCCCTTCCCACATGTGCTCTTTTCTGCAACCTTCCTTTAAGTCATATTGTAAAGAACACTGAGGTTAAGGTGATGGGATCAGAAACTTTAAGTTTGAGTTCTAGTTTACCCACTTGCTTGCTATTTGATGTTCAGCAAGTACGTAACAGTTCCCTCCCCCAGAAAGATAACAACAATGTCAATCTTATAAGGCAATGGCAAGGATTAATTGGGATAATGCGTACAAAGCCCTAAACAGATGGTTTGGCCCTTGATAAGCCTTTACCATATATGTCAGTATTATCATTGTCCTCATAATTACTATTAGCTTAGTTGGATAATCAGCACTCTATGAGTTCTGAAGTTGTAAGCAGGTCATACTTCCTTAAAATCAGGTGTGTGATTCCTCGAAAGCTAAGAATAAATGTGATCAGCTAGCATTTCTGTTGTCTTTCTTCATTTCAAACTCCTTTATTGCACTTATAACTCTGCCAGGGGGAATTGGCTTAGTTTTGCTTGCTGAGTAAATGAGACAAAAACATTTAATGATTTTTGATCATCCAATGATTTTATGGTTCTTATTTCTACTGATTAACCCAAATTAAAAAAATCAGTTTGGTATTAATTTTGTTCATGGCATTTAAGCATTTATCATGTGCTCCTAAGTTACAGCATTTGGGTATAACTGACAACAGTGAGCCTTGGTCTTTGCTGTCTGCAACTTACAGGCATTTTCAATGATTCCTTTTGAACAAAGCCCAAACACGAATGTGGCTTACAAGGTCCCTCCTGGGTCTGGCTATTGCTTAACTCGTGTGTGTTCTGGAATCACAGTGAACTTGGATCCATTCTTCCTGGAGGCCATGTCTTTCCCCGGCTGTTGCACGTGCAGGTCCCTCTACCTGAAACTCGTTCATCTTTCTCCCCTGCTTCTTGTAGCCCTTCTCAAATCAATCAGTGCATCTCAGAGGAGGGGGGTGAGGCATGCAGTCACTGAAAATATCTTTACGCTTCCAAGAATTCTTTATGACAATTTTTAAACTTTTTCCTTTTGATGATAATCTACACCAATTAGCACAAAAGCATATTTAATTTCATCTGAACACCACCTTATCACTATATACCTCTGCAAATCCAGGGCCCGTGTTTGTCTTTAGGGCCCCAGGGTGTGGTGGAGCACCACTTTAGATGGCAGGGGGCAGTAAGAGAAAAAACAAAGGTGGACTCCGTGGACAAATGGTGTCTGAACCTAAGGCAGGCCAATGATAATGCGGTACAGTGAGCCTTCCACAGTTGGGCAATCGCTTGCGCTGTGACAAGTCCCTTGTCCCACCACTTTAAGCTGCTGCACGACCTCCACTCTTGCAGTGTATACTAAATGCTGAGGAGTAGCCACCACAGCCACCAGGACCCTAATACTATACAAATGGTGATCTAATTTTGGTAAAATGTGGACTATCACATCATTCATTACTTGGAGAGACAACTGGCCTCGTGCTTAGGAGCTGAGGCTCCAGATCCAGACCACCAAGAATGGAGTCCCATTGCCACCCCTGGCAAGCACTGTGACCTTGGGCAGGTGACATTTACTGCAACTGTAAGATAGTGGTAGTCGTAGCACATAGCCCATGGTGTTCCTGTGACAGTTAAATGTCACCCTTCAGAGTGGGGACTAGCGTGGGTAAGCATTTGTAAATGTTTGCTTCCACTGATTGCCAATCTGTGTAGTTCAAGTGAATTGTTTGCAAGTGTTTTGTAATTTTTTGGATTTATTGACATATTAGAATCAAAAGCCTAAGGAGTTTCTATCTAGTCTAAGTTTATGTATTCAAGTAACATTATATTGAAAATCAGTGAAGTCCATAGTTGGGTCTGCAGACTCTCAATACCATGACCTAACTAACTGCTACTTGCTCTGCCACCTCCCTTGACCACTGCCCCTTCCGGAAGCCCTCCCTGGCCCTGCTACGTCCCAGACACGCTCCCCCTAATGTCCCAGTGGCACCTGGCTATTGTCCTGGCATCACAGTTAGTGCACATGCTTGTAATTGCTTGTTAAACTCTTACCTCCAAGAGGGCAGGGACCTTTGTAACCCCAGAACCCGACGCAGTGGGGGCCACTTAACAGGCCTCCAACAACAACCATAAATGGATGTCAGAACAGCTACCTGCATAACTACAACATCCCTGCAACAATTCTGCTGCAGGTGAGGCAGAAAAAGAGGTGCGAGCACAATGGGCCAGGTAGAAGAGACATTAAAACCCCAGAGACAAGTGCCTCCAACCTAAAAAAGTGGCAGAAGAAAAACCAAAGGGCTTTGACATCACATCGAGTTACAGGAGTCAAGCTGCAAAAAGTGCTCTGACTTAGAGTTCAGAGAAGCAAAAAGAGTAACAAATGACATTTGATCAAGGCCTGAGAATAAAATTCAAATAAATTCGTAAGAAAGTAATGACCATAAAACTTGCCATATATAGATCTTTTAAAATACACTCAGTCGTATTGGTTATGAATAGAAATGGGTTATTTTGATAAGTGTTATATATTTGTTTACTTATTTACAGAAGGAATGGCCTGCTCTTCTCCCCATTAACAAGCTACCCTGCCTAGATCAACAAGGAGCCCAGAGACCAGTGATGTTCAGGGAGGAGAGGCATCTTCAGTAAAGTTCATCTCAACTCTCCTCCCCCTTGTTTTGATGTTTTCCCCATAGGCCCTTCGAGATGTGGCTCTTCTTGCCTTTCCCCCTCATTTCTCTCCACTCCCCCGCCCCCGACACATAAAACAGCCTTGGGAAGCTGACTTCAACACATTTACACATTGAGGCCTTTGAATACTTTCTGGAACATCCTTTCTTGCTTCCCCCTCTATCTTCTTACCTTACACAATTCTATCCACCTGGAAAACTCCTATCCCTCCTTCCTTTTGCTGGAATGTCCCCTCCTCTGCAGAATCCAGAGTCACTGTTCTGTTCCACTGCCTGTTCCAAACCTCTGTTATAACAAACCTCATAAAACTTCGGTCATTTGCTCTTGATTTTTCCCTCCACCACTAGTCCAGGAGCCCAGAAAGTCCTTGAAACTTACCACACTTCCCAGGACCATTTACATTTGGGCTCATTTTCAATTGTGTTGCACAAAATTGTCAAGTAAAATAAAATTTCTAATAATTCATTGCCCTCATATTGTTCTTCACCAGATAATTTAGTTACTCACAGTTTCTGTGATCAAGGCTAAATTCTTTTTTTAAGTATATTTTATTGATTATGCTATTACAGTTGTCCCATTCTTTTATCTCCTCTTTGTCCCCCTTCTCCTGATATCCCCCATTCCTGCCAGCATCCTCCCCTTTTAGTTCATGTCCATGGGTTGTACATATAAGCTCTTTGGCTTCTGTATTTCCTATACTCTTCCTAACCTCCCCTTGTCTATTTTGTACCTACCATTTATGCTTCTTATTCCCTGTACCTTTTTCCCCATTCTCCCCCTCCCCTCCCACACTGATCTCCCTCCATGTGATCTCCATTTCTGTGATTCTGTTCCTGACTAGTTGTTTGCTTACTTCATTTTTGTTTTTTTAGGTCCAGTTGTTGATAGTTGTGAGTTTGTTGTCATTTTACTGTTCATGCTTTTGATCTTCTTTTTCTTAGATAAGCTCCTTTAACATTTCATATAATAAGGGCTTAGTGAACTTTCAGTTTACCTTGTCTGGGAAGCACTTTGTCTGCCCTTCCATTCTAAATGACAGCTTTGCTGGATAGAGAAATCTTGGGTTTATGTCCTTGCCTTTCATGACTTCAAATACTTCTCTCCAGCCTCTTTTTGCCTGAAAGGTTTCTTTTGAGAAATCAGCTGGTAGTCTTATGGGAACTCCTTTGTAGGCAACTCTCTTTTCTTTTGCTGCTTTTAAGATTCTCTCCTTATCTTTCATCTTTGGAAATTTAATTATGGTGTGTCTCAGTGTGTTCCTCTTTGGGTTCAATTTGTTTGGGACTCTCTGAGCGTCCTGAACTTGTACGTCTACTTTCTTTGCCAGATTGGGGAAGTTTTCCTTCATTATTTTTTTACTTAAGTTTTTAATTTCTTGCTTTTCCTTTTCTTCTGGCAGCCCTATGATTCAGATGTTGGAATGTTTAAAGTTGTCTCAGAGGTTCCTAAGCCTCTACTCATTTTTTTGAATTCTTGTTTCTTCATTCTGTTCTGGTTGAATGTTTATTTCTTCCTTTTGTTCCAAATCTTTGATTTGAATCCCAGTTTCCTTTCCTTCACTGTTGCTTTCCTGTATATTTTCCTTTATTTCACTTTGGGTAGCCTTCATTTGTGCCTTCATTTTGTGACCATAGTCAATCATTTCTGTGAGCATCCTGATTACCAGTGTTTTGAACTCCGCACCTGATAGGTTGGCTGTTTCTTTATCACTTAGTTCTTTTTCTGGAGTTTTGGTCTGTTCTTTCATTCGGGCCATATTTCTTTGTCTCAGTGTACCTGTTACATTGTAAGGGGCAGAGCCTTAGGTATTCACCAGGGCAGGGCAACCAACTTCGCTATGTTGTGGCACTGTATGTGTGGAAGGGGTCAGAGAAAGGACAATGCTGCTTGCTTGGCTCTCACCCTGCTTTAAAGAGACTGGCAGTTTCTCATGCCATCACAACTCCCACACATTTTTATAGCCAGAGGTTCTGAGGCTTTATTTTCCCCTGAGATGAAACCTTGGCTGGCATGGTTTGTCTTGATTCCCTGTTGTTCCTCCCTGTTTACCCAGCCACCACCTTGAAGAACATACTCTCTTCCCTAACTGTCCATGTCCACCCCTCGTACCAGTCTGGATGAATGTTTCTCCTTTAATTCCTTGGTTGTTAGATTTCCATATAGTTTGATTTTCCAGCAATTCTGTTTTTTTTGTGTTTAAATTGGTTGGTTCTTTCTTTTGGTTGTGCAAGGAGGCACAGCATATCTACCTACGCCTCCATCTTGGCTGGAACTTCTTCAAGGCTAAATTCTTTATTTAGGAATCCGAGGCTCTCTTTAATTTGGTTCTACTAAATATTTAATAATAAAATAATAGTTAATATTTATTGATATTTTGGTCTAGGCAATGTTCAAAGAGGTTTTAACATCAACTATCTTGTTAATAAATTTAGCAGATATATTTACTTAATTCACACAGATCTTAACCAATTGCAGACAGCTTTACTAGTATTAAGGTCCTTTAGTCCTCATAACAAACCGATAGGTAAGTACTATTATTATTAAATACTTTCAAATGAGGAAACCAAAGCACAGAGAGACTGAGCAATGGGCTCAAGGTCACATAGCTCACAAGCAAAGTAGCTTAGCTTGGAACCGTGAGAGCATGGCCCCAACCGGTGACATGATACTGCCTCTAGGCAGAGCATGTCATCATCACACACATTCCATCGGGCCAAACACGTCCAAGAAGTGTACTCTTTTCATCTTTTGTTCCTGCTTTCTGCCCTGTGGGGGTGTCTGTCACCCACTGCTCTACTCAAATTATTCTCCTTCTTCAAAGCCTACCCAAAACCCACCTCTGCCTTGAAGGCTTTTCTGAAAACTTTGGCCACCTTGGAGCTCTGCCCTTCCTGCCCACAGTCTATGGCATGTTGTCTACACCAAACACCCTGCCACCTAAGTCCTACTTCATTTAGAACTTCATTATAACTATCTTGCATGGTTCTTTGTCTTAGGTGGGCCTTGGGCCTCTAACACAGTTATGACCTCCTTGAAGGTACCAACCAGGTAACTGACTTCTGAAATTTTCCATAGCACCCAGCATTGTGACAGACTAGTACAAAGGCTTTATACATTCATGTTGAATTGAAGTGTAAAATGAAGTCAGGTCCCCCTTCCCTGAATAAATTCTGAATTTTCCCACTTCTGTTTTATTTTTCCTGATTAACTGCCACTGAACATGGGAAAGAATGAAAGAATATTACAAAGCAGAGTTAGGAATAGAGTTCAAGTCTTCTTAATTAAAACCACTGGAATAGGCTCCTTTTTTGATGGGGCTGAAAAATAAATTTGGATTTTCCTTGCATCTGTCATTAAAAGTCACTGAATTTAGTTTAAAATTAATTTGTCTGTTGCATAATAGTACAGATCCACTATAACCTGAATAAATGGGACCTATCTCCTGCATGGCAGAATCCCTTTGGCAATATTCCCGTATGTGGCAATTATTCCACTGTATTTTTGCAGTAACCTACTTGGCTGTGTCAGCTCCGCTGGTTATTAGGGTGTTAATCAAAAGCTCATGACCGTATCTTGCAGCCACGTGGAGGGGAGTGTTGCCATCCTTATCCACACAGTCAATTTCACCTCCTGGAAGAGATTTTTAAATACAGGATAACATAAGGATTCAGGCTGATTCAGATACATTCAGATTCTATGCTAGTCATTCATGCTGATCAAATGTTGATTTCTTTTCTACTCTGTGTGCATCTCTCATTTGAAGGCTAAGAATGCTTTTCAAGGGTCATCCTCTAAACTAGAAATATTATTGTTAAATCTTCACAGAGGGAAGTCTATGAGAAATACTTTTGAAAAATCCTTCCATATTGTCTTATTGAAAGATCTAAAACCATACAATTAGGTTCCTGAAGGAACAATGTAATCAAACTGCGTTAAATATAATTCTAAAGACATTCAATTTTAATTTTGATGAATTAAAGATCCATGTAAACTTTATACTAATGCATAAGAACCAAAAGGAATGGAGAGTTCAGGAAAGTATTTTATGTAGTTTGATTACCTAATTTAAAATATGATGAGTAAAAGCATAACAATGAACTGAAAATACCTATATTTATGTATTTTCATTTTATTTTATTTCATTTTATTTTGCCTTTCCCCCAACTTTTTATCATATTACATTTCTTTCCTTCCCCTTTTTATATTTATGTAAATATAATTAGTCTATTTACTCATGTATTTGAGAAACCACTTAAAAATAAGTTAGACACATTTCACCCCTAAGAACAAAACCACACTCCTACATTACTGTAATTCCATCATTATGCCCAAGAAATTTAACACTGATACAACAGTTTTATGTAATATACAGTGGATATTGCAGTTCCCCAATTGTCAAAAAAAATGTGTTTAAAGGCTATTTAAAAAAAATCCATGATCCAATCAGAAATTCTGATAGCATTTGGTTATCATGTTTTTTTATTTTCCTTTAATCTGTATCTTCTTGTCCTTTATTTATTTTTAGTCTCGTTGTTGAAATTTTTGAGTCCTGTCAAATGTTCTGCATTCTGGAATTGCCTGATTATTTCCTTATTACTATATTCAGGTTAAACATTTTGGCAGGCCTAGCCCAGAGCTGATGTGCACTTCCCATTTCATCTCTTCGGCAGATGCATAAGGTCAAGTTCTCCCATTACTGGGTGAGGTCCATTTCGGTAACTTGTATTGGCTACAGAGTTTGTGAATATGAGAAAGTTCTAAAAATGGATGAGTACACAACAATGTGAAAGTACTTAGTGCCTAAACCATACATTCAAAAATAGTTTAAATGGTAAATTGTATGCTGTGAATATCTTACCACAATAAAAAAGAGGTTTAATAACTTGGTTAAGATGATTCCTGCCAGCATTCTCCATTGCAAAAAATGTCTTTGCTCCTTTGTAATTAAAAAGCAATTTGTGTGGTGATATTTGGGGACTGTTTAAATAGCCTATTTTCCAATAAGTTTTCCTGCAATAATTTTAGCATGTATAGGGAGTAGTTTGTTCAAAAGTTACCTGAATTCTTTATTCTGAATGCTTATATTACCAATTAGACACACAGTTAGGTTCACTTGATCCTGTTTATTTTCAAATTCTTTCTGGATTTTCAATTAATTTTATTGTATTAATATATAAAATATTAATATGTTTCAAAAGTCAAAATTTGATTTTTAAAAAGCCTCACTCTCATTTCTATCTGTTCCACTTCATTATCATCTATGATTGCCTGTGGCAATCATCTTCATTAGTTTTGGTTTATGATTCCTGTGTTTCTCTGCAAAAATAAGCACCTAGACTCTTTTACACCTTGCTCTTTTTCTTTTCACTTAACAATATATCCCCAAACTCATTTCTAGGGATTGCTTCTTGGAGCTCTTCCTCGTTTTTTGTACAGATTCATTGTTTCCACTGCCTGGGTGCACTAGTTCAGAGCACCAGTCTCAGATGGATGAGCAATCAGGTTGCAAATACTACTTTTGCTATTATTAAGAATGCTGTAGTGAATGACCTCATGCACACATTGTTTCATATTTGTTGGGTGCATCTTCAGGGTAAATCCCTAGAATGAGGATTTCTAGGTCAAAGAGTAAATAAATACGTGGTTTTGTTATATTTTGCCAAATTTTCCTCCTTAGGCTCTATGCAATTCTGCAACCACAGACCGCGGCCGTGCCTCGTGGGCCTTTTCCCCACAGCCTTGTCAAGCTATGAGTACCTGCCACGTGATGGCTGAGAACTGGCATCTCGGTGGAGTTTCCCCTTGAATTTCTCTCATCAAGAAGGTTGAGCATCTTTTCATATATTGATGAACCATTTGTTTATCTTTCTCTATCAACTATTTGTCATTGACTTTTGCTCATTTTTCTGTGTGTGGGGGGGTATGTGTATGTTAGGGGGTTCTTTTATTCCTTGATTTTCAAGGGCTCTTAAAATATTTAGGAGACTACTCATTTATCAGTTGCAAGTACTTTCCCTGTGGATTTTCATTTGTATTTGGAGCTTTACCCTAAAAATTTATTTTTGTAATGTATCGGCTTTTTTCCTGTACTTAGATTTTAAATTGTAGTTAGAAAGGCTTTAACCATACCCTGGCTTAAAGAAACTGACTTGTGAAAATATTTGCAACATGTATTACTGATAAGTGGGTAATCTCCAAAATATTTTAAGAGCTCTTGAAATCAATAAATAAGGAGACATCAAGGAGAAGGAGGAATGGGGAGTGGCTACTAATGGGTATGAGGACAGGCAGTCACCTGGTTTCCATGGATACCTCAGAGCAATCCTGTGTACATGAACCTGTCCGTACTGCCCACAGGGGTCAGCCTGAAAGGTCTACTCATGGAACTGCTCCAGGGAGATATGGGAGGCAGATCCCTGGACTTCAGTAAAGCCTTAGCCCTGAACACACACTAAATCACTCCAGGTCCTTTCTTAACAAACATTAAGGCTGGCATGTTCACAAGCCTCAAATACGCCAAAAACTGGGTAAAGAATAAAAATCAAATTGCATTAACAACCAAGGAGTTAATGAAGAAACATTCATCCAGACCAGTAGGAGGGGTGGAGACAGGCAGCTGTTGCAGAGAGGACTTACAGCAAAGCAGTGGCTAGTGGACCAGGGAGGGCAAGGCTGCAGCTGGTGGGCTGGTGGACCCAGGGAGGCAGAGAGAGGCGGCAGAATGTGGACTGGGTGCAGATAAACTGGGAGGAACAACTGGGGAGCAAGACAGACCTCAGGACCTAGAGTTTCACTGCAGGGAAATAAAGCCTCAAACCTCTGATTGAAAACACCTGTGGGGGTTGAGGTGGCACAGGAGAAACTCCCAGACTCACAGGAGCGTTCATTGGAGAGACCCACAGGGTCCTAGAATGTACACAAGCCCATCCACCCAGGAATCAGCACTAGAAGAGCCCAGTTTGGTTGTGGGTAGCAGGGGAACTGAAAGCCTGCTTTGAGAAAGCCTGATTTGAGAGCCGAGCAAGCAGCGCTGCTCCCTCTCAGACCCCTCCCCCACATACAGCACCACAACGCAGTGACCTGAGTTGGCCCACCCTGGTGAATACCTAATGCTCTGCCCCTTACTATGTAACAGGTGCATTGAGACCAAAAATATGGCCCACATGAACAGATCAAAGTACCAGAAAAAATACAACTAAGCGACAAATAGATAGCTAACCTATCAAATGCATAGTTCAAAGCACTGGTGATCAGGATGCTCACAGAATTGGTTGAATATGGTCACAAATTGGATGAAAAAATGAAGGCAATGCTAAGTGAAATAAAGGAAAAGGTACAGGGAACCAACAGTGACAGGATGGAAACTGGGACTCAAATCAACAGTGTGGACCAGAAGGAAGAAAGAAACATTCAACCAGAATGGAATGAAGAAACAATACAAAAAAAATGAGGAGAGGCTTAGGAAACTCCGAGACATCTTTAAACATTCCAACATCTGAATTATATATAGGGGTACCAGAAAAAGAAGAAGAAGATCAAGAATTGAAAAGTTATTTGAATAAATAACGAAGGGGAACTTCCCCCATCTGGCAAAGGAAATAGGCTTCCAAGAAGTTCAGGAAGCTCAGAGAGTCCCAAAGAAGTTGGAACCAAGGAGGAACACACCAAGGCACAACATAATTACATTGGCCAAGGTTAAAGATAAGGCGAGAATCTTAAAAGCAGCAAGAGAAAAGGAGACAGTTACCTACCAAGGAGTGCCCATAAGACTGTCAGCTGATTTCTCAGGCAAAAAATCAGGCAAGAAGGGGCTGGAAGGAAGTATTCCGAGTCATGAAAGGCAAGGACCTACATTCAAGATTACTCTATCCAGCAAAGCTTTCATTTAGAATGGAAGGGCAGATAAAGTGCTTCCCAGATAAAGTCAAATTAAAGGAGTTCATCATTACCAAGCCCTTATTCTATGAAATGTTAAAGAGACTTATCTAAGAAAATGAAGATAAAAACTATGAACAGTAAAATGACAACAAACTCACAGTCATTAACAACCACACCTAAAACAAAAACAAAAATAAACTAAGCAAACAGCTAGAACAGGATCAGAATCACAGAAATGGAGATCACATGGAGGGTTATCAGCAGCAGAGTGAGAGGGGGAAAGAGAGAGGAAAGGTACAGAGAATAAGTAGCATAAATGGTTGGTACAAAATAGACAGGGAGAGGTTAAGAATAGTATAGGAAATGTAGAAGCCAAAGAACTTACATGTATGACTCATGGACATAAAGTAAAGGTGGGGAATGTGGGTGGGAGGAGGTGTGCAGGGAATAAAGAGGGGAAATGGACAACTGTAACAGCATAATCATTAAAATGTATTTTTTAAAAAGTTAATTTAAAACTAAAAAAATGTATAAACAACTTCTACATATGCTTTTATTGTCATGTAAAATACATTACATCATAACTTATTGGAAAAGCAAGAGACAAAATGTATATTTGTTATTCAGAAATGTTTTGTATTGAAATAGGACTTCTAGATGAATGGATTCCCATTTTACAGTTACCCAAACCTTTCCATTTTTACCTCAAAACCTTTAAGATTTTCTTGGAATGCAAATTAAATATCTTTAGTACTCATGTAATCATTTCAAGTTAAATACTGGTAATCTGTCATTGATCGTTAGTGAGGAAAATAAATTTCTGTAAATTTAGAAGTATGCAGACCATGTCAGAGGGATAATGTATGCAACGCTGTCTAAGCGGCCACCTGAAATTAGTTTCCCATTACACAAGCAAGAATGCTCATCTCCCTAAGCTGCCTCAGAAGAACTGTGGGGCAAAACATCAAAAATCTCACAATGAATCATCCTAACCAATCACTTGACTCTTCCTTTTCAAACTCTATTTATTTATAGAGCTTCTTGAAGAAAACATCATCTTTGAACTTCTGTAACCTACTGAACAGCATCTGCACAGTTGCCTCGTGCAAATGCCTCCTGAGACCATGCTGTGTTCCTTCCCCCTCTGGCTGTTCCCGCACCACTCCAGACAACAAACGATGTGACTGAATGGCAGAGGCAGTCTTCGTTAACTAAGTAAAAAAATCTAAGAGGCGGTTGTTGTTGTTGTTGTTAGTGACTGTCTAACCAAAGCTGAATAATCCTGGAAAACAAAGTTATTATGAAGAACTAATAACCCTTGTTTGGACAGCAGTCAAAGAAGCAGAGAAATGCCATACAAAGTCCAAACACCAGAGTGATTCAACAAAACAAGTTTATACAAAGAATGATTCTCAATAGCATTTTCACGTGGGTTAGGGAGCCAACCGCTGTCCCCATGTGTCCCCTGTTGTGCAGTGACCCGCTCTGGGGGGTGGACACCAGGCCCTGCAGGTGTAAGCCTCTGTTTTTTTCCCAGAAATAAATCAACAAACAGAAGGGGGAAAAAAAAGCTTCCTATTTTTCTCCCTTAGGGCGTTTTTAAAATGTCAAATGGAAGAACTTACAGTTCTCACATGTGTAATGAATGCAGAGAATTCTCAGCTGAGAGAAGAGATGTGAGATTATCCTTCTACAGGGACAACTCTATTCCAAATATAAGTGACTCTCAGAGTAAACAGAATTCAAATTTTAAAAAAAGCTCTTTCAATATGTCATTGTTTATCCAGAAAACACAAAAGTGTATCAGCTAAAAATTCAGTCTCTGATGTTAGACTGCCTGCGTTCTGATCTCTGTGCCTTAACTGCCACGCATCCCGACAAAAGTCACAACCTGTCCACCTCAACCTCCCCACCTTTGAAATGGGAAGAGAACAGCCCCTCTGTCTTATGGGGGGTCGTTGGAAGGATTCATGTGGGGTGCTTAGCCAAGTGCCTGGCACAGCGTGAACATTCAACCAATGTCAGCTTTGTAATTATACATAATGGGCTGTATATTATAGCCACTATACCCCCATCATTTGAAACCCCTGGACTCTGTTCAACCAACAAGCAAGATGCCAGGCAGCCAAGAATGAGACAGGCTCTGAAATAAAGCTCTTTGGTCACAGAGGATGAGAGATGAGGTCACTTTTTGGGCTTCACCCCAACTCCAGAGTCTAGCAAGAATGTTCAGAGAGGGCAGGGAGGTCTTCAGACCCACAAGGCTGGCTTTTGGAGAGGTCAAAGCAGCCAACAAGCTGGCCCACCCCACCATTACTCCCGCTGTGGGGGCCGTTCTAAGCACACTAGCATAACAGAGGGGAGATGGGTCTTGGCCAAGATGGAGATGGCCATGGTCTGGATGGACCTGTAGGAAGGCAGTGCTTACAAGGTGAAAAACTGCTCTCTTTCTGGTCTGGCCACTGGTGCTTAAAATTGCTTTAATAGGGAACAAAGCTTTTTATGCCAAGGACCTAAGTCCCATTGGTTAAATTCACATTCAATTAAAAACAAAAGAAGGATATCAAATATCTTCCTAGTTTTGCTCACTTTTTAGGCAGGGGACACTGGTTCTGAAAAGTACAAAAACTGAGTATAGTGGGGTAAGGAAACTGAGCAAAGGGAGGCACGGGGATCACTGCCATCTCCCCTTGTTCGCATCCAGGAAAATAAAACAAAGTGGCCCTTTCAATGAAGTGAACGTCAGAGGCACCACACATTTCGAATTAGGAAGAACGAGTGTGGGACAGTTAATTCTCCTTTTACTTCCGTGGCTCATCGGGAACTTGTTAGGATTTCCTCTCCCCTGCAGCCTCACTGCAATGCTTACAAATTTCCTCTGCTTTGCTGCAGATATTTTGCTTTCTAAGCATAATTTTTGCTGGCTGGTCTTCCATCCAAATGTCAGATGACTGATTTTATGACCTGAATGCCTAACATATAACTTCGTACCACTAATAACTCAAGTGCATGTCATCTCAAATTCTTACAGATGGGTGAAAAGGAGGTCCAAGAAAATTGATGCCAGAGTTGTGAGAAGGAGAAATGTGGGTCAACTGAAGACAGTTTAGGGGCTGCTGGATTCACCTGGAATGTCAGCAAAAAATCTGGGCCACCTTTTTTTTTTTCTTTTTTTAGTTGTCTCTAAGATCTGCTAAGATAACAAACTTGTGCCATCAAGGCCAGTCCACTCGGAGGCCAGCCATGACCTTTGACATGAGGCAACACTCCCCAGCCTCACGGGTTCAAGTGTACTGCTGCCGCCAGCCCGGGGAAGTCCTAGACCATGACTTTCCAAGGTCTCTATCAAGCATGTGTCATTTATCATTCTTTACATCACATATTTACCTGATTTTCATCTGAGTTGCCTCATTTTTCCTACCTTTGCCCAAGCAGCTCAATGAGTTTTAACTTAGGGAGCTATGGTGAATTCTAAAATTTAAAAATAATTCAGATTACCTGCTGAGAAAATAAACAGTGCTTATTTTTATATTAGATTCCAGGTGAAAAGTGCAGAATCTTTAGCCTGTGTAGATATGTGTATCCTTTCTAGCCTCCAAACTCACATGCTCTTTGACCGACTGGGAATGGACTGTGGAACTTAATGGCGTTACACTGGCACTCCTAAGCTAGACAGTGACGATATGTCTGACTAGGAGCTTTTAGCAAAGTACATCAGAGGAAACGGTGTAAATCTGCGCATAATAAACTCTAAAACAGAGCATTATCTTTGAAGGTCAGAGGACTGGCAGCCAAACTCAGACCAGAAAGCTGCCCACACAACAACACTGCAGAAGAACCTCTTACCGTTCTGAATGAGGGTTTGCGACCGCGTGAACCTTCCGTGGACTGCCGTCATGTGCAGTGGGCTTTTGCCATCTTTACTCTAAAAAATAAAGGAGAGAGAGACAGTGGGCCAGTGGCATCAATCTGAAACGTCCCTGTGGACGCTGCTGGCAATGCCTGGAAAACACCAATTCAAACTTTTTAAGTATGATAAAAAATTACCAGAGACAAAAGATAATTTTAAAAGTAAAAGATAAAGTATATATTATATCTCAAGTTACTGCATAACATCATATTGTAAAGAAGCCTAGAGGACTATTTTAGAGAAGAAATGCAAAATATACTGACAATTTTAAAAATGTTTGTTGTTGTTCAATTAGAGTTGTCTGCATTTACTCTCCCCACTACCCCCCCAGCCAAACCCACCTCCCTCCCTTGCTTCCACCCTCCCCCTTGGTTTTGTCCATGTGTCCTTTATAGTAGTTCCTGAAGACCCTTCTTCCCATTATTCCCTCCCACCTCCCCACTAGTTATTGTCAGTCTGTTCTTAATTTCAATGTCTCTGGTTATATTTTGTTTGCTTTTTTCTTTTGTTGATTAGGTTCCTGTTAAAGGTGAGATCATATGGTATTTGTCCCTCACCACCTGGCTTACTTCACTTGGCATAATACTCTCCAGTTCCATCCATGCTGTTGCAAAGGGTAGGAGCTCCTTCTTTCTCTCTGCTGCTCAGTATTTCATTGTGTAAATGTACCTTAGTTTATTGATCCACTCATTTATTGATGGGCACTTAGGTTGCTTCCAGAACTTGGCTATTGTAAATTGTGCTCCTATGAAGACTGGGGTGCATAATGATGCTGAGCATCTTTTCATGTGCCTCTGGGCCCTCTGTATGTCCTCCTTGGAGAAGTGTCTGTTCAAGTCTTTTGCCCATTTTTAAACTGGGTTGTTTGTCTTCCTGGAGTGGAGTCATGTGAACTCTTTATATATTTTAGAGATCAAGTTCTTGTCCAAGGTGTCACTGGCAAATATGTTTTCCCATACAGTTTGTTCTCTTTTCATTTTTAATGCTGTTTTCTTTAGCTATGCAGAAGCTTTTTAATTTGATGAGGTCCCATTTGTTTATTCTTTCCTTTATGGCCCTTGCTTTAGGGGACATATCAGTGAAGATACTGCTGCATGGAATGTCTGAGATTTTCCTGCCGATGTTCTCCTCTAGGACTTTTATGATGTCACAACTTCTATTTAAGTCTTTTAACCAACTTAAATTTATTTTTATCTATCATGTAAGTTGGTGGTCGAGTTTCATTTTTTTGCACGTAGCTGTCCAGTTCTCCCAACACCATTTGTTGAAGAGGCTATCTTTACTCCATTTTATGTTACTGCCCCCTTTGTCGAATATTAATTGACTGTAGAGAGTTGGGTTTATTTCTGGGCTTTCTGTTCTGTTCCATTGGTCTATGTGTCTGTTCTTATGCCAGTCCCAGGCTGTTTTGTATGCTGACAATTTTTAAACTACCCTGTCTCAGATGGAAGAAATAATCCACAACATTTTTTCTATATCTTAGAATCTATTGATGAAGGAATTTTCCTCCAAGATATTTTTTTCAACTTTTGTCTATAGTACATGAAAAAAGACAAACAATGTGTTAACTGGATTGGTGTGTTTGACCCGAAGTTGGTTAACTTCAATCAAACTGTTACAAATCACTGCCACTCTCAAAACTAACCCAGAATCCTCCACCACCCCTTACATTCCAATTCCACAGGAAAACAACACTTTTGATTGTAGCAAAGGAGAAAAGCTGCTTCACTAAACTCATTAGAAATCATAGGACTAAGGCATGCAACTACTTAGCAAATTGCCATTTTAATGATCACCTGGAATTCTGTGCTGAATTTATACATCTCTTTATTATTCAAGATACAAGTGATGGAACTTCCTGACCTAGATTAAGCCAAAACATTAAAAAAAGTATAAAATCTATATACTGATGATTATTACACTAAATACCAGAGTCATATGTATTTAATTAAGAAATAGTCATTTGCAGAATTTCTTATAATAGTAATAACCCCCCCCAAAAAATCACTGTTATTTTAGACCAAAGTTATCCTCGATAGAATGTATTCTTCCATTCAAATACTGTAAGAAAAAAAGCCTATGTAATTGTTATTTTTCTAAGTCTCTGGAGAAACATCTTTCTTAAATCTGTTGTTAAAATATGTGGTTTGTAAAATGCAAGCTCATTTTTGTGATGAAACCCATATACTTGTGCTTTAAAATGGCCCATTGTTTAAAAAATTCCACAGTGGAAAACAAATAATTACTTAAAGAAGTGTTTCTCAGAGTGAACCAAGGACTGCCTGCATCTAAATCACCGGGCTTTGTGTCAGTAACGTGAATTCTGTGCGCTGACTCGGGCCCACCGAATCAGAGCTGGGGTCAGGGAGCCCCCTGTGTAACCTGCACAACAGCACACTGCTTTAGACCGTGGGCTGGAACAGCTTATAAAACCACCACGTTTTAACAGAGACTTTTTAGTATATAAGTCTACTCCTCAGAAAGGAACAAAGGAGCTTTGCACAGCCTGTGCCCAGGGAAGAGTGAATCAGAATGGCAATGCATCTTGGTTGAAAAAACAATCTTTATAGTGAAAGGTTCTTAGGCAGATGGCAAAATAATAATAATAATCATCATCATCATCATCATCATCATCATCATCACCTTTTCTCCATGTTATATGATTATGACCTGAATCAGAAAAGACTGAGAAGGCAAGATGAAAGTACACTTGAAGGTTACTAAGATGGGATTTTAGAGGAAAAGAAGCAACAGTCAGGAAAATGAGACTTGGATGCCTCACCAACCACGAGACACCTGGTGAGGGGAGCTCCTGAAAGCTACCTGATTCTGGAGCCTGAGTCCTGGTGTCAGGAGTGTCCATAGTTTAAAGGACTGAACTCCTGTGAACTCCTTGGGAATAAAGACTCAAAACATAGCCCCTGCAATAAAAATGACCACAGTCCGAGACCCTTAAGGAGAAAGAAAACAAAAATCACAGAGTTGACGTTAACTTGTCCCTAGGTGGTGCTATTTCTTTAAATTTTGCTCCAATATTTTTAAAAATTTAATATGAAAACATGACTAATTAGTGTTTTATCTAATATATATAAAGCTATAAATGTTTCAGTATTTAGACAATATCTTTATAAATATTTAACTAAGCACTTTGCCATGCCTATAAAATAGCTTAAAGGCTTCACCAGGGAATAACCACCACCCTGCAAGTCCCTAACTACATTGCAGCCAGTGAGCCAAAGCAGAAGTAGTGTGTTCCCCCCTCTCTCTCTCCCTTCCTTCCTGTAGGTACAGTAAATCTTATTTTTTATTGCACATCTTAGTTTAGAATCACTTTTACATTCCTAGACAAAGATGATACACATAAAAATCAGGTGGGTTTCTATAGCGTGTGCTTCACAACGCTGGTCCCCTTTCAGGGCGAGCCAGCGCCACACCCTTTTCCTCCTTGCAGCCTCTGTGCCTTTGATGAAGGGACGAATGAATAGGAGGACCACAGTTAGGTCAAATTCAACAATTTTATGGTGAATGTTGACATTTATTTCAAATTTATCCTTGCAGATTTTTGCCTGGGCTCCTCTGTCACTGTGTCCAGGCCATTGCTGATTTTTTTTCCTCATAGGGGTATGGAGAGTGGGGAGTGGGGAGCAGGGCATGAAGTATTACGAGTATTATGGAGGTCATTTGGGGGCAGTTTTTCAAAATATGGTATGAATATAAAAGGAACTCTATTTCAAAAAGACACTGAACACTAATAAAGGCTAAAAGGACAACACTTTGCATTTTGCATTTACAAGTTAGAACTCACAATATTCACGCTGAGACAAGGGATCCTAGTAAGTTTCACATCTGCCTGAGAAATTTTTCACATGGGGGGACTTGCCGTTGCTGCTGCTGTTCAGAGAACGCCCAAGATAAAATATTCCATGTATTCTCAAAGGAAAAGATATGTTCGGTTCTTCTATTTATTCAAAGCTTTGCTTTTATAAATTTAATTCTTAATTTCTAGTCTCCTTCCAGCTTCTAGATGCATTTTCTCATTAGTTTTATAACTTGGAAAACTTTGTTATTTTTGAAGATGTATTTAATTAAGCAAAAAGTTCTTTTACTCATTCATACTTCAGTCATAAGTCATGAACAAAAAGTAATGAGGATTAAGAATATTTTATGACAAATATTAATACTCTTTCGGGGCAGAATTCAACATCATTCACGGAAGATTAATCCTGGGCCTGGGGGAGTGTTTCATTTTTCTTGACCACCATTTTCCTCAGAAATCTGTTCATTCTTTCCTTCCACTCCTAATGTCTGCCTTCCTCATCCTCCAGCATCTCACAAAACCCACACTCTTACTCCCCAGGAACTTGAAGGCATCGTGTTCTCCAAGGTATGCTGCCTCCCGGAGTCTTGTAGCTCAATGGCCCTACTAGAGGGCAATAAAGTCTTCACAGTGTAACACTAAGGTCAGCTTGGACGGGGTTCAGATGTAGTCAGAAAGCCCAAAGGCCTTCCTAATTCAATGGGAGAGCAATATAAAACACTGGTTTGCAAAAAGGCCATACACAGGTCATTTTTAAATGGTTTTAAAGGCCAGATACATCATATAGTTGGCTCAGATATTCATTCCTCTCCTTTCCTCACATGCTCTTCAAAGGTCCAAGAGCCATGTCCCTATCACTTTCTACCCCAGGTTCACCCTCGACCTCTGCAAAACAACCCTCACTCTATAATTTGGTCCTGGTACATATGAAGAAGGGAGCAAGCAGGTCCACAGTTCAGTAGATGTGGGGAGGGGGCTTCAAATCTACCCTCTTTTGGGGCTGACTGATCTGAGGGCCCACTGACAGAAAAGAATTGACACATGAAAGAGTGAATGTTAGTGCCTAGAAAGCAGGCAACCTGGCAAGGGTAACTTCTGAATCTAAGTAATATCTGGCATGCTTATGCATTTAGGACCTTCTTTAACACTCTGAATGCTTCCAAAAAGAGACTTGAGATGCTACAGAAATTACAATGTGGGCTATAACAAAGAGGAAACATTATTTTCTGTTTTCTCATGTTCCTCTTATTTGCAAGTAAACCTTCAATAAATTGTAGTATAAAATATTACATCTGCATTATTTTAACACAAATAAATTAATATTACAAGGTCAAAGCCATGGTCAATCTAAGCAAAATTAGGGACTATAAAATGCATGCAGGACACATATCCTTTCTCCTCTTTCAATTATCTTCTCATTGCCCGTGAAGACATTGCTTTTAGTGTTTTGTGAGGATAGAGAAAAACAAAGTGAATGTGTGTGTGGGTATTGGCTACATTTCAATAGGCAATTTCCCTCAAACTTTAGAAAATCTAAACAAATATAAGTTGTCTTACAATCTACAAACATTTTCTAAGGTAAGGGGTAATGTGGTAGAGAGAGAGAACCACTTCAAGGAGAAAGCTACCTCCAGAGTCAGACGGAATGGCTCTCTGAAAATGTAAGAGAGCCGAGTATCCAGAGGTTATCAGGAATAGCAAAGGAGGATTCTAGAGAATTAGGAAACTGGAGGATGTAAACAGGGTAGATGGGGGAGGCCGAGGGAGAAGGCTAGATCTGATTCAAAATCCCATTTACATAGATTAGAGAACACATAAACCCAAGTCTTGGGTTTTAAAAATGCTATTTCTTATATTCTACCAATGATTAACAGTCCACAGGAAAGATTAAATATTAAAGCTTAGTAACTGTGCTTTCCAGGTCCACTTTATAGGGAACAGAAGGCTGCCATGAACGGGTGCACCATAAATAGCTGAGCCCCCAACGCAATCTGAACTGCCCACTAGTCAGTTAACTGGGAGCAGTTAGGTAGGTGCGTCAAAATGTGGCCTTCCAACCCTATGATCCAGCACAGTGAGAGCATGTCGGCACATTTAAAGAGGTAACAATGCTAATTAATTAAATGGAGGTTGGTAAAGAAAGCTACTTTACTTAACTTCAGTAGTTGTTCTTTCTTTGGAGGCTTCAAAGATGTCCCTCAGACACCAAGAGGGCAATGTCCACAAGTCTAGGGACATTGAGGGTTTTCCCACCTCTTAGTCTCCTGCCTCTCACCACCACCCTCTCCAACCTCAATCCCACGTGGTGACGCTTTCCCCATCTTGGGCTACAGTGCTTTGCTTTCTTCAGTGCCCCCAAAGATCTTCATCTTACTTGCGCTTAGGACCTTGGGTGGTCTGGTTACAAGATCTAGAACTCTGAAACTCTCTTCATCTGTTCTACCTTTTTGTTATTACCTGCTTTCACCTTCGTGAAGACATTACACTCTTCTCCATTTCCTTCCTTTCTTCTCTAACTGTTCTTTTATCATCCCTTTCTCTGGCTCTTCCTTCTCCTCCTGATCCTAAGAGTGAGGGGTTACTGGCGTCCTCCAGTCCCTTCTGTAATCTCGCTAAGCTGTACCCTCTCCTTGGGTGAGCTCATCCTTTTCTCCCAGTTTCAACTGTCAACCTCCTCTGTATGAATGAGGCAACCTAGGTTTTTCCTTCTATTCTCTGCCACTACCCCCAGTAAATCATCACATTTTCCATACTGCTTTTCGCAGACTGGCTGTGCCAAAAGCTCAAAATCAGCTTCTCAAAAATAAACTCATCAGTTTTACCTCCCAGCTTTGTCTTTCTCCTGACATCCCTCTTATTAACAATAATCACTTACTGAGTGTGTACCATATGGCAGACACTGTTCTCAGTGATTTATGAGCAATAACTTTTTTTAATCCTCAAACTGATCCATGAAGATACCACTGTTTCTCTAATTGGACAGGTAAACAGACTGAGACAAACAGAGAGGTTGTTTATGATTATACGGCCACTGGCAGTCAAAGTCAACACTGGAATCTAGGCAGTCTGCCCTGGAGCTGAATGCTTAACCATCATGCTCTATGGCCTCTCTTCGCCCGTTTCACTTCTTACACGTGTCTTGGACTCCACAGTCAACCGAACCCTGCGGATCTTCTCTCTGCAAAGCCTCTCCCTTCTGTTGGCCGTTCCCATTCCCCTGCCCTTGTTACCTCCTATCTACACCTGGTTTTGTTTTTCTTCTAGTTATCCTCTAGGAGTTCCTGTTCCTAAGCCTACTCTACCTGAATTTTCTTTTCAGTAAAATAAAGATAGCTTTTTTTCTTTTGGATAGAAAAATAACACATGTTCATTGCAACAAACATATAAAAAAGAAACTAAAAACCCAAATAATAATTTTGCCTAACTGTTGCTAGTATATTAGTATATATTTCAGATATTTTTCTCTTTCCATGCACATACCTAGACACATAACTTTTTAAACTACAAAAGGATCATATTTACTTATTGCATTTTAGTTTTTTATTGATATCACTGCTATTATGCCTTTTTTACATTTTCCAATCTTAAATGCAAATATATCTGTATACTAGTTTGCATTTGTCCAATTACTAATGATACTGAATATTTTTATAGGTTTGATGGACACTGTGTTCTCTCTTGTAGGAACATTTTCTAGTAGTTTATCAAACTTTTTCTTATTGATTTTTATTGATTCTTTATATAGTGAATATATTAACTCTTTGCTTATCATGTATATTGCAGAAAACTGGCAACAGACCTGAACTCATGCCTTCCTTTCAATTCTCAGCAGCTTGGCTCTATCAGCTCAACATTCACCTCTGTATTAGAATCTAGGACAAATCAACATCCTTGAGACCCAATATTTCCTCTGGAATGTTCACTGGGCTACCACAGACACGTGCCTAGAACCTCAGTGCCTTCCAGCTGGTAGCATCACTGCTGCAGAAACAACGCAGCTGAGTTTCTATTGCATCCAAATACAGGATGAGGCTCTGGGAGGCAAGGTCCTCAGAGTCACAAATCATTCAAACATGACATAATTTACTGCAGTACATCCTGCTCAGAGTTTCAATGCAATGGTTTTTAACACTGAGAGAGCGAGCCTGAGAGGGTCATACCTGGATGTTAACATCCGCCCCGTTGTTTACTAGCAGCTCAAGACACAAAGCACCGTGTGTGGAGGCAGCAGCAAAATGCAAAGGGGTGAAGCCGCTGTTGTTGGGCTGGTTCACATTAGCACCGTAGTCCGTCAGCTCGTTCACGACAGCATCCTGCCCGTTGTAGCAGGCCAGGTGGAGGGCCGTGTTTCCATAGACGTTGATTTCATCGATCTGCAAGAGAGTCCAAAACAGGGGGATTACACTCGCTGGAGCTCATTTACCCCATTTCCCACAAAAAGCCTGATAGCTGTGCCAGAGAAAGGAAAAATCCATCTGTCCACATAATTATTCAGAGCTGACTCCAACCCTACCATGGTTGTCCTGGAAATCCTTGTCACTGAAGGTAAAGATCAGCAAAAGGTGAATGTGACAAATACTGAATTGCAAAGGAAGAACGAATTAGAGGGCTCAACTTGTGGAGAGATGGTTCTGGGTTGTGGAAGGGATTAACATGTGAAAGGCAAAGCTGTCTGGAAATGCCAGGGGCAAACTGGATTGGGGAGCAAGAAAAAAGCCTGAAACTCAACAATGAACATGAAGAGATGGGGGGGGGGCGCCCAGGGAGGTACCGTGGAGCCTCAACTCAGAAGCCACTCTGGCTTTGGCTGTGCTGCCTGACACTCCCGCAGGCCACACTCTATAGTGGGGCCAGGAAACTGTCCTAGGTATTTAGGCCATGGCTCCTTCTGTGGCCCCGACTGCTGGGTTTCACTAGCATGGTCCCAGTAGTGCAACTCGGTTTTCTTTCCTCCAGACATACGGATGCCCCAGAACCTCACCCCTTCTCCTGTTCTACTACTTGAAGGGGTCGGGCCAACTTCTACAGCTTAGCACTGGACACCTCTGCTATTTGTTCCTGCCATTAATTCACTCATTTCTGCTTGGAAGCTGCAATTTAGAAGGCTAGATTCTGAAGGTGGTGTGAAGAATCCTAGCCAATCTTTAAAAAAAAAAGATATATACACACACATAATGAAGGATGCCCCCCCCAAAAATGGAATTATCTTCTGGAGGGCAGGCCCCTTATAGTACTGCCCCCACTAGGTGAGCGTTCTAGGGACCCATCTGCATCAGTGTACCAACTGGTATTGTTGTGAGAGGATGTGTTTGGCTTCAGTGAAATTTTTTGAAGACTTCCAACACATTTCACAAGGGGTGATTTACAGGCACACCTGCCCACACCATGCTGAACAGGGTCCTCATGCCTTGCCCTCCCTATTCACCTGACCTCACTCCAGCAACTTTGTTTCCCCCAATTAAAAAAGTCCTCAAAGGGAAACGTTTTGCCAATGTGGAAGAGGTGAAACGAAAAATGACAGAAGCACTAAAAAGCATCAAAACTGTTGAGTTCAAAAACTGTTTTGAGCAGTGGAAAAAAGTCTTGATATGTGTATTGGGTCAAATAGCGTGTATTTAGAAGGTGACTGAATTTTAAACATGTAAGAATAAATACACAATTTTAATAAATAAATTCCATTCTGTATATGTATTTATATGTATACATATAAATTTTTCTCTATTGTGATATAGAAAGTATGTTTCTCATTTTCTAGTAATTAGATGCCCCCAACGCCCTCCATCAGTTGCCCATGCAAACTCAAAGATAGAGTACTATAAAAGAAGGAATTTTCTTCCTCTTGAATTAAAATGCAAACAAGATTTAATTTCAGAATAAAAGAAAACCCACACAGACATAGGATTTCACCTGAGGACCACAGAAAGCTCACAAAAACAGCAGGGAGTGATGCATGAATCACAGCTCACCTCTACCCCCAGATTCAGGAGGTGCTTGACAACACTGATCTGTCCATTGGAGGCTGCAGCGTGCAGGGGGGTGTAGCCCTTCTTATCCTTACACGTGACTTCTGCGCCGTGGTTAATGAGCAATGCCACAACGTCCAGGTGGCCTTTACAAAGCAAGCAGCAGAAAACATCATTAACCTTTATAGGACAATTTGACAATTCATTCCACCTAAATTATCACTATTGCCAACAGCATTTTGCTGAGCTATTCATAAGAAGCTGGTTCATGGAAATACTCAACAAATATTTGGTGAGTACCTACTATGTGTCAGACTTTATGTAAATGCTATGGGTAAAAAAAATAGATGAATTCACATACTGAGCCTTCTCTTGAAGATCTAGCAGAAGTGATGCCTTTTGGCAAGTAGGTAGCAACAAGGCCCTGAACGTGCTAGCACTCGTCTTAAACACGAGTCAAAGCAAGAGCAATGCTTTTGAAATCGAAAAGCTCAACAGTAGCAATTTGTTTTAGAAGACCAATGAAAGAAAAAAAAAGTAATCAATCAGAATGACTCCAGATTAATTTTTAAATTACATGAAATCGCTGCTGTGTGACTTGGGTTTTTGTTGTTTCTGGACCACAGAAATGGCGATTTCATATGGTTCAACTTAAAAGTATCCATGTCAATTACTGGCTAAACAGAAAACTCTCCTAGTTTCAACTTGCACTGGCATGTATTTTAGATGTTTCCCTTTGTTCCCTATCTCACTCTATACAATATGATAAACATAGCTGACCTTTACTTTGAGACTGAAGGTGGTTCTGTGCTTCAGGGTCCTGGCTAACAATGGAATGGGGGAGGGTGATCCTGACTCTTGGGTTTAAAATGTGTGTGTGTGCGTGTGTGTGTGTCACAGAGAGAGAGAGAGAGAGAGAGAGAAAGAAGCTGCTGGCTTGTTTTATTAAAATTTGACTCTCTTCCTTGAAGACCTGCATATAGAAAAAATTACTTTCAGTTACTAGTGCTGAATCTTAAGCTTAAGTGGTGGTATCTTTTGTCTGGTGGGTATCATCCTTTATTTCCTAAAGAAAGTTAACTATGTTTCTTCCTATTCGAATCCTGGTGACACACCAAATGATGACTTTACTTCGTTACAGCAATTCCACACAACTGTTGAACTCGGCGTCAGCAGAGAGCAAACTTGGAAGCCCAGCTTTTCCAAGCCCCATCCCACACTAGCTCAGTCTGTGCTCCGCCTATACAAGGACCTGGCAGACACTCCCTGGCTCCAGTCCTACAAGTACTGTGCGGGCATCTAGTCAACTCGTAACTCCATTTATCACCTTTAAAAATGATAATGCTTACAAAATCTCAAGATTCTGGTTTTTTTTTAAGCCGAAAGATTCATTCAGACCCATCTATAGCACAAAATTTATTTCGCCCCTGCTCCAACTCACTCTCTTTTTCTCCCCACAATTAATGTCACTTTAATGAGATAAAAGGCCGGCATGCTTGTTTAAAAGGATTCAGAAAAAGCCGAAAGATATTAAAAGGAAATGGAAATCATCCCCAATCACCAATCCCAGGAGATAATCAATTAACATTTCGGTATATAATATAGCCTAGGTTGTTTTCACTGCATACAGTTTTTAAAACAAGGATCATATTACTCATACTGTTACAATCTGTTCTCACTTGACATACCACAGAATCTTCCTATGTTACTAAGTACTGATGACATCATCAGTGTAGTTACTGCACAGGGTTGCATGGTGTAGCTCTCCCATAATTCACCAACACAGTCTCCTGTGGATGGGCATTTAAGTTGTTCATAATTTGGTGCTGAAAGAATCCTGTCTGCTTTGCTAATTGCAAGATGTTTTCCAATTAGAACACAAACGAAGGATCTTCATTTCCCCTGGGAATACACTGAGAATAAACTCTGTAAGGTCTATAATTTGTCAGCGGTATTTGCACTAGCAAAAGTGAAGAGGAGAAATATACAAACGGACTGTCTTCATCTCCCCTAGCCAAGCTGGCAGAAGCAAGGGCTGCAGCCCTCAGCATGGCTGGAAGTGGAGCAGCAGGAAAGCCTAGCAGGACTCTGGTCAGCTCCGCCCACCCAGCAGCAAAGGGGCTGTTCATCCTTCCCCCCTTTCTGTTTCTTTCAAAGATATATATATATAAATAAATAAAAACACGTGGACTGTATGTCCTTGCTTTACTAGCAAATCCTCTTTCTTTTTAAACACCTTAGCTTGCTTCCATAACAAGGTAAAATAAGCACAATTTGTGCAGCTTCCAATCCAGACTGTAACAGTCAAGTCCAGGCCATGGTTCAACCCTCCTCCTCATTGCAGCAGAAATAAACCAACTGCTCATCTAGAATGTTCGAGGAATGCCGGTAAAATGAACTAAATCTTAATTCAGTTGAACCCCAAGCTTGAAAAGAAGTCTAACTTGCCCAAGAAAAAACATATATGGTCAATGAGAGACCCATGGCTTCTTTAATTGAGGTTATACGCACTTTGCTCCCCGTGCATGGAATCCTTACCCATATACGCTGCCCAGTGCAGAGCACGCCGGTCCTTCTTGTCAAATGCATTGATGTTTGCCCCTTTGGCCAGGAGTAAATTGACCATCTGAAAGATAACGAGTGATGAAGTGAACACCGTGTAATGGTGAGGGCCCCTCACCAGCTGCAGGTGATCTGAGCCAAGTTAATGTCAAGGCAGGTCAGAGACCTGGAGTTCAAACGAAGTAGAAAGATGGCATCACAGCCAACCCTGTGGCATGTGTACCAGGAGAAAAAGACTGAAGCGATGGCTGCTTTTTCAACTCACTGTGGCTCTAAATTTAAGCACAGATATAAGAGCCTACAGTTTCCTGTACAAATATTATCATCACATCTGTAAAAGTCCCAGCAGCAATATTAGCAGCAATATTGCTCTTGGGGTTAAGAAAGTCAGGAGGGAGGGTTCTTGTTCCCAGTGACAAAGACACCCACCTCCACATGGCCGTTCAGCGCAGCGTGGTGCAAGGCTGTGCGGCCCCCTCGGTCGGAGACGTTGACGCTGCTCAGCAGGGGAATGATCACTTCCGCACACTTGACAGCCTTATTGGCTGCTGCCACATGCAGGGGGGTCTGCCAGTTCTTGTCCCTCGCATTGACATCAGCCGAGTGCTTAATCAATACTTGCACTGCTTCCTACAGCAAAAGCAGAGTTTGCAGGGGTCACTGACAAACATTCGGTCAATACTTATTGGGTGCAAGATGTTTTTCAACAGACCCTGGAACTACAGGAAGGGAAGGGCCCCTGCCGTTACAGTCTGGCTTGAGATGGAGATTCCTCTGTGACAGGCAGAGTAATAGGCGATAAGGATCAAGAGTGGTGGATTGAAACAGATTCACCGCAATTTCTTTGTTAGGCCGAGAGCCCTGGCACATCTCCAAAGCCAAATAAACCATCTAAGTGCAAGGTGTCCTTAGAAGGTAGCGGGTATTTTTGGCCAAATGAGAGCACACGCGTATATGTGTGCACATCAAGTGACCAAAAGGCCTCCAAAGATCATCTGAGGTTAGAAGTGTTTGTCAATAAGCCTCGCTCTTCCAGAGCCAAAGGCCTCAAAGCCCTTCAGACACTCTTGGGTCAATGTATAACTTTTTAGTCCTCAACCAACATCGTAACCCTCACTCTGTGAACCTCCCACTTTTCGTTTTCCTGACCTAATCAGCTTGTTAGCATCTTCATCTTTACCTCTACCTTGGTTGTGCAATGAAACCACCTGGGGAGCCCTTACAAATACAGATGCCAGGTCCCAGCCCGGAGACTCTAACTGGCCTCAGACTGTCTGCAAAGTGCCCTGGGGACTTGGTTATGCAGTCAGAATTGAAGACACCCTTCTGTTCAATCAAGCGAATGACATCGCTTCTCTAGAAAAGGGAATGGCTGTTAGTTGTTTCTCTTTGCATCCAGGGACACCTTTGGGAGCAATCAACAGTGCTCCTTTATGAACATCTCATCAATGTGTCATCAGGGAAAGGCATCATACCACACCCCTGTACCCTTCATAGACCAATGCTCACCTGTGTCCACCCTAATCCCCAAAGGCCTGGATTGTCCAATCTACTCTATCATGCAAGTATATAAAAGTGCCCCCAGGTAGTAGATAATCCAAACTCTCAAAATTAATACTTTTATCAGGGACGTAAATGATGAACTAAAAAAAATGTTCCATGAAACATTTTGTAAAAAAAATGTTCCATGAAAGAGTAGTAGTAACATGTTGAGAGTAATGACTAATTTAGACAGTAGATTGAGAGCAAAAGGAAATTGACTTTGCAAATTAAAGAATATAGTTTAAAGAGTGTGGCTCCATTTAGATGCTGTAAATAAAGGGTAATAAGCTGATAAGACCCAAACAAATATTTTGTTAAGATTATCAAAAAGGGAAAGAAATATACCATTCACCCTTAGTAAGATATACAATAAGGTAATGATTACTAAATATTCCTTGAGCCTATTTCAGAGCGAAGCATGTGCATATGTTAGGCTCACCTACGGTGTGATTCACACAGCTAGAACTATGGAGGACTGAAAGGAACACTCCGCAGGCTCTATCCTAAAAGCCAGCTGGGTGAAAAAAAATAAAGAAAAGAAAAGCTAGTCCTGGCTGGTGTAGCTCAATGGACTGAGCACAGGCCTGAGAACCAAAGGGTCACCAGTTCAATTCCCAGCCAGGGCACATGCCTGGGTTGCAGGTCAGGTCCCCAGTAGGGGGCGCAGGAGAGGCAACCACACATTGATGTTTCTCTCCCTCTCTTTCTACCTCCCTTCCCCTCTCTCTAAAAATAAATACATAAATAAAAAAAAAAGAAAGAAAAGAAAAGCTAAATCACAAATAAAGCAGTAAAATTTAAATTAAAAAATAACATTTCTATCAACTTTGGCCTCCTCAATATGGAGGTTTTTATAAATATACAGACAATCCCTTGTGTTGTGGGAAAATATTGGAACCTTCCTTTATGCTTCTTTTCTTTAAAAAGGAAAGCAGTTTAGCTGGCATTTAACTTCTGGGCTGGCACTGTGCCCTCAGTCATCTCCACACAGGACCTTGCCTCACAGCTGTGGAGATGCCCTCAGGGAGGAGGGGGGCTTCCACTGGGGGGGGGCGGGGCTCACCCTGGCTCCAAACATCCGCCGTGGAGTGCACCGGAAGGTTCAGTGATGCGCCTGCTAAGTTGATTTACAGATTGTAACATGTACCCTTAAACTGCAAGCATTCTAAAATAAGCAAGATTTATGCAAGGAACCCAAATAAATAATGGGGAAGTCACAGAGCTGACACTTCTATGCCTAGCAAAAGCTTTGTATCACCTACAGTACAAGGTAAAAGTAATGGCAAATTTAATCAATTCTGACAAGAGCTTGGCCAAAACAGAGGAAAATCATTGGAAGTCTATTACCCACCTCGGTTATGTAAGACTAAGATAAATGAAAAGCCTCACCCTTAGTACATTGTGCTTTGAAATATTAGCTAATGATAGTAATTCTAGTATATAATTTATAAATAAAAATGAGATGCACATTTTGAAGATGCATGCTGGAAAAGTTTTGCAGATATGAGGTCAAAAAGATGGAAGATAGTCATCTCAAGGCAATACTGAAAAAGAGTCCAGTATCCTTTTTACACATTCACAGCAGAATAACATTACATACTGTCACTTTAATACCTTTGTCTTGTGCATTATTTCATTGCACTTGTACAGATTCTTGCTTTGCATTAAATATTATGTAAATTTAGGACAGACTAACAAAACAACATATATAAGATCATTTCACAAATTTATACTTTTCGGAGATAAGAGCAATGAAATCATTAGAAATTTGTTTTTCAAAAGTAACAAAATGTGATTTTTTTTTAGAGTAACTAAGACTAGGTGATATAACTACTTAAAAATGAATATTTAGAAACAATTTGCATTTCACACAAAGCAATAGGTCAAGCAAACAAAACAAAACAAAACAAAAGCCTGCCCTGGTTGGTGTGGCTCAGTCTTCAGTGGTTGGAGTGTCAGCCTGTGAACCAAAAAGTCACTGGTTCAATTCCCAATCAGGGCACGTGCCTGAGTTTCAGCCCAGTTGGGGGCCTGCAGAGAGGCAACTGATGGATGTTTCTCTTACACGTTGATGTTTCTCTTTCTCCCTCCCTTCCCCTCTCTCTACAAATAAATAAAATCTTTAAAAATTGCTTTTCAAAAACTGTATTTATGTGCCAGGATTAGCTTATACATAAACAAGCACCTTCTGAGTTTGGCAGGTATGAGGGTTGGGGGAACCCTCATTCTTTTATATATATACATTTTTAAAGATTTTATTTATTTTTAGAGAGAGGGAAAGGGAGGGAGAAACAGGGAGACAAACATCAATGTGAGAGAAAAATGTTGATTGGCTGCCTCTTGTATACACCCCGCTGGCTGAACCCGCAACCCAGGCACGTGTCTTGACCAGGAACTGGGCCAACGACCTTTCGCTTTGCAGGACGATGCCCAGCCAATTGAGCTGCACTGGTCAGTGTGGGACCTGTATTCTTAAATAGGCAATACTTCTAAAAATATTTTAATCACAGATAATTTTGGTCTATTTTTATAAATAAAGTTTTATTGAAACACAGCCTCATTCATTTGTTTACATATTATCTATGGCTGCTTTTGAATGAAAACAGCAGAGTTGAATATTTGTGACAAAGACCATATACAGCCATTGATGCTTAAAATATTTATTATCTGGCCCTTTATGAAAAAAGCTTGCAGGTGCCTGGTCTAGCTCCTTGTTTAAACTACTACAAACTGCAAATTATCAAACCTGATTAAAATAAAATTTTGTGATTTACCAGCAGGAAAAAACACTCTTTTAGGCCCTGAATGGTGTAGCTCAGTGGTTGCGTGCGAGCCTGTGAACCAAAAGGTTGTGCATTTGATTCCCAGTCAGGGCACATGCCCGGGTCGAGGGCCAGGTCCCCAGTAGGAGGCACACAAGAAGCAACCACACATTGATGTTTCTTTCCCCCTCTCGCTCCCTCCCCTTCTCTAAAAAATAAAATAAAATCTTTAAAAAAAAGAAAAAATACTGTTTTAGGCTCAACTAGACATTTAAGGAGGGTGGGTCCCATTAAAAGACTCAGAGGCCTCTGTGTTCAGCCATTGCTAGGCAGCGGCCGGTCTATAGTGAATTTGGGGTTGGGTGGAGCTGCCCTGCTCTGCAGAACAGAGTGAGAAACATTTGGAGCTCAGAAGGAACGGTGAGGATAAAGGGGGTGGAGAGAGGACATGGGCCCCACCCCCAGGGCCAAGGTGTATACCTGGACAGGGGCAGAGTCAGCAGGCCAAGAGGAAGAGGGGGAGGCAGACACAAAAACCAAAGGAATGTAGCAGGAACAGGGTTTTGGAGTTAGCCAATCAAAACCTTAAGTCTCTGGTTGTTTTGAATTGTTGGAAAACTGTTAGACTTTACACAAGATGTGGCGTATAGTTTCCAGCCAGTCGTATCTGTGTAGAAAGCAAGGTGCCCCTGCCCAACATCTGGGTTACACCTAAAAAATTAGAAAGGGAAAGGGTTCAGGTTCATTGATCAGAAGGGAAGGAAAAAGTGGGTGGGGCCTCAATAAATCCCTTTTCGTGTGAACACCAGGCAGTTCCCATGTGCATGCCAATGTCATGTCTGTCTTTTACATTAACACCTACTTTTACAGTTCAAGGACCTCCGAAACAACCATCACTTTTTTTCTCTATTTTTAAAAAAATATTTAAACTTGGCCATTCTTCTTTTTAATTTCTGTATCTTCTTATGAAATGAACTGCCTAGTGTTCTCTTACTTGACAAGAAAGGATTCTACCAAGAAATACTTAGTGTACAAAGGAGGAGTTATTACTTTCCAAAAATTAACTTTTTAAAACTGAAACCACAAGTACTCTAACATGACTACGGAATTAAATTCACAGACCTACAGGGCATTATAATGGGTCTGACTCCTTTGCCTGACAGACAGCTCCATTTTAAAGGCAAGGCGACCCAAGTCCAGGGCGGTGGGCTGTGAGCCTGGCTGACTTCAGGGCTCCTGCAGTGCTCCCCTGGGCCAGAGCTTATTCAGTAGGTGGTATTAGTCAAGTACACTGAGATGAATAATTTTAAATGTTAATTCTTCTTA